TCAGAACGAGACTATTTAAGATCCCCATGTTTATGCTCTGATCTTGTAGGTTAAATCTATTATCAGCTTGTAATTATAATCAGTATGGCTACTAGCCTACTACCTTATATATGATTAACTCCTCCTATTTTAAGGCTTTGTTGGCTTCAACTATTTAATTAGGTTAAAAGTTATTGGGTTTTATGTACGTGTCATGCAAAGAACTTAATCTACTGATTTATTAGCTCACGTTTAACTTTTAGTTCCCTTTCCCGAGAATATTTCATGATAATTATTTGCTAATCAAGATGCATGGATTCAGTAATGTATAATAATAATCCCATGATTCATTCATAAATATAGAGAGATGTTTATTAGGACAGAGACTTTCAATAAACAATTTACTGTCAGCCTCTTAAGCTACTAATACACAAGTCATGTGAAGAAATTTTTATACGTAATCTTGTATTAGTGATCCGGACCGTATCGGTAGTAGTGAATAGGTTATATGTAAGTTCTTATCAATTAGGTAAGTTATCAGTCTTCGTATTGTTCAATTTTCATTGTCACCAAGAACATGATCCGACGGTCCAGACTTTATTGAGATGGTTTGTAGTCACCTTCACTGAATTAAATAATGTATTAATGATGTAGTCATTTGCATGCACTTACCAGTTAATTAAAACTTCATCAGTACAAGATCACGAAGAAGATGATGGTAGATATGGAGATTTCAATCTGATGGCCTTCCCTGATAAGTGTGACGTAATTTCTCGACATAGATTTTAGGTGGGCCCCTGAACTTGAGGCTAAACTACTGTGCTTTACGTCAAGGATTTGTTGTGTATACATGTGTGTGTTTTGTCGAAAAGATTTGCCAATGATATGAAAGAAAAATGTAAGAAAGACATGCTGTTAGGGCAAAGAAGATGCAAGTGTGTATGAATGTGTTTTTATATGCAGCCGTTTTTATAAAGTAGAGGTGGGAGCTAGTGGTAGTGGGAGGAGTATAAATTTTGAAGTTTGAACCCTCTTGGTCTTGGGAAATTCCAAAATATTCTTCTTTCTTGTTGTTTTTGGTACACGCATCTCCACCCGTTAGTGGAATGTCAGGGTAATTAGAAGGCAAGGGTAATGAAATTGCTCTAATTATTCATTTTAAATAGTAATTGTCTTTGTGCAAGTCCATACGTTTGGAAGAAAGAAAAGCAAAGGCGATTACCATTCGCAAATATATTTTTATTTGTTTAATATTTTCTTTATATTATCCTCCACATGTCATATCGCCATAGATTTTTGTTTAATTTTAAATGTTTAATTTGCAAGTTTGTTAAACTATGTAAGATTTTTAAGTGTGGACCTTGTAAGTTTTTTTAATTTCTTTTTTTTTTTGGTGATTTTTATTTTATTTTTTAGAGCTGATTAATCATGACCATTGAATTTTTCAATTTTTTTAAATCAAAGGCTCCTCAAAGCGCCACATGGTGCAGTAGCAATTTTTTTTTTTTTTTTTTAGGGAGTGGGGGCGATGGGTTCTGTTTGCTGGCCTTCAAGCGGGCGCAAGTCCCGTTAATATTTGGCAGGGCAACCGCAAGGGCTCCTGCCTTCCACCAAATCGCCTCCAATTTTTTCACATTATTGGGCAAATGGCAGTTCAATCCAATTGCTTTTGCGCAATTGGGTGACTACTGGAGATGCTCTAAGTTGCAAATTATTTATTTGTTTATATTTGGATTTGACCTCAAAATATATCCAATCACAATAAAGTTTAAGCGTTGGATCCAATTACTTGCAACAATATTTAAGCGTTGGATCCAATTGCCTTACATTGTTCATATTTTGTCTAATCATGGACCTTGCATGGTTTTTAGCAATTAAAATATTTTCACCTAGTTGCTAAAACTTAAGTAAACTTTTGATATTCTAGTAGTATTACAAAATAAAGAGTTTTTCAAAACTTAATAAGTCACCGTTCTTGTTGTTTGGACCAACATCGATTCCCCTTCACTTATTCAAAAAAGTGAGTTCACAAAGCCTACAATATGCCTCTTCATATATATGGATCTTTCAGTTAGTGCGTTGAGGCTATATTGAAAAGAATTGAATCCTTAATTTAATTCTAATTGTAACCCAGTGTCACAACCATCGCCATTGAAAGCTGAAACTAACTCCAAAAGCTTAGCATTTAAAGTTTTGATATAAGACACTTTCATCCTAAAAGGTCAATTACATATAGGTCAAACTAGGACACAACTAGTAAAATTATCATATGTTCTAATACCGTTGAGTTTATGCGAAAACTTAGAAAAATGTGTCTCAACTCCTCCATTTGGTTGAGTAACATGCATGTCCAAATAGTGACTAATACCAAAATGTTTAAAGCAAAAAAGAAGGCAAAAGGAAAGGGTCATCTAGAATTAGAAAATACTTGGTTTCTTAGATGTAAGAAGTCATTTCTTTTTATTTTTGTGTAAAAATTACAATTTATCATGCATCATAAATTTTATTTTTAATATTTAATAAGCTACTTATGCGTGCATGTCAAACAATGATTTTTTTATGCAAAAAGGAATGTCTTCTTAATTACGTGTGAAGAGCTAAGGCAGCGTCTTCTAAACTTGAAAATTATTTGATTCTATACCCTTTGTATGTATACATGGCTATACATGGCTAGCGTATAGAGGAATACTTAGCTATATACACACTACATCAAATGTAAGGATAAATATTTTGACCACTTAGACTACATACAACTTCATTCATTTCCTCTCTCTCTCTCTCTCTCTCTCTCACTCTCTCTCTCTCTTTTATATAGCAAGTTAACATTTTCAGAGAAACCAAAACAACACCACCAAATGGGTATGAAATGAGTTGAACAAGGCACATAGATAAAATGTGGGTGCAAATAAACATGATACGAAATGAGCCAAATGATGACACACATTCACAAAGACATTCACCAACCAAAACATATTCACTCTACATTATTCATAATTTTGGGTTTCAGTTTTCTTGGGTCCGGTAGAGCAGCTTGTAGGCACCTCCATAATCTTAAGAGGTCCCCATCACCAAGATTTTGGGTGGGATATGGCATTCCTTTTTCTGGTTTGACCAAAGTTCAAACTTTATAGCTTAGGAGAAACCCTAATGTCGTTTAGGGCATGCAAGCCTTTAAGAATAGGATAATACGACTAGGGTATGGCCTCAATGAGGTAACAATGCTTCTTGTTCTTCCTTGCTGCATATATATATATATATATATATATATATTATGGAGAGAAGATTTAGTTGTTGATCGAATAAAATCTTTAAAGCTTTCTGTGACTTCAAGTACGTAATGTCCCTTACCAGCAAAATGAGGGATGCCATACATCATGCTTTTCGGCCAGTTTCATGTAAAGTGTTTCAAATTCGTATTTTCCAAGTTGGTTTGGTTTCCATTTTTATCAGTGTTGTTGTGGCTCAAGATTTTCACCTATTAATTGATCCTCACATATGCCTCCCCACATTATTTTTGTTCTATCTTCCTCTTCTTCTCTTTGAATGGAGAACTTCCTTAATTGGTCTCTTAGTTTGAATTCAGGGGAAAATTTAGCGATCTCTCCTATAAATTATAGACCTTGTTTCACTTTATTCTCTAATTTCAATTTGGTTATGAACCCCCTAAACTTTCAGCTCGGGTTACTGTCTCACTCGTGGTTTAGATCTGTCAATTGTTCTATCAAATTGAGGACTTTTTCGTCCATTTTGTACAGTAGAAGCCTTCGTAAGTTGTATTTCCTCTTAATTTTTATTGATGGGTCATGCTAGTTGCTAGGTAGATTAAAATTTTAAATTAAATGAAGTGGTGGTTGATAATTGAATTATTACACAAGTATTGATTAACGTGCGTATTTCCTATTGGTGATCCATAATTTATTTTGTAAATTTAATTTTAAAATTCAGTCTACCTAGTTTTACCCTCCTTTATATATAAATTTAGCAATTATTAATAATCTATAATGAATAAATTACTAATATGAATTATTTATGATTTATTAAAATTAATTATTAACTTATTAATTTACCAAGATATTCCTTGTTTTCTTAAAGATTGTATACTATATTTAGTTTTCGTTTTATGAACTAACAATTTTATGTATTGGTTTAACCAAGTAAAATTCATGAATTTACTTATTTTTTCTCTAAAATAGATTGTACATTGTTCAATGTACTATATTATTCTATTTTATGAATATTTAACCACGCAAAAACTCTATTTAAATAAACAAAAGTCATGGTAACACAACAAATCATACATACAACAATTGAACAATGGCTTCTCATCTCAAAGATGTAAATAAATCAACAATGACGGATGAAATGCGTAGCATTGTGCAAGTACAACATAGATAATCCAGGTAGCACTAAAATACAATTACAATAGTGGGTTTCTTCAACCATTATTAATTTATATATTACGTGGGATCTATATGAATTTTTTATAATGCATTATTTTATACATTTAGCAAATTAATAATCACATAATCTTCAAGTCCAAACTGGCTAGAAATCTTATTTAACCAGAATTATTAATTTATCGGGTATACAATTATCAAAATTCTAACATCAACATTGTGTAACTCTTATACCGCACCAAAGCGAAGAACTTCCATGTAACGGGGAATTCCGTGAAAAAGTTAAAACACAATAACAATTCAATTGGTTTGTGATACCACTACCAAAATGTTATTATGACAATATATCTAACTCAGTTACACACACTATCATGCGAAAAAAAAGTTAAACAGTAAAATAATGCAATAACATTGTCGTGCATGTGAGTTTTCTCTCAATCAACAACTTCGAATTACTCACGCATGGGATGACCGACGCCGTCGACAATCCTCCTGGATTTTTGGTGGGCATTGTTTCGTCTAGTAATTCAACAGAAGGAAACACCCATTTTGTCATGTGTGTGACTGTGGCCCCCACCTCTGATCTGACACTTCATCTCCATAAAATAAATTACAGTCAAGGAAGAAAGAAAGAAGCATATACTAATACTATCACGAATTTGGAAGTGATAATTCTGCAAAAGTTACATTCAGGTCCCTGACACCGACTTTACAAAGGCAAGGTAATACTACCAGGACATTACGTGCAGAGGATCTGCATACACTTTCAGAATCTACTTTGTAGGAGTTAAAAAGAATGACTCGTAATATGTAGTACAATTGTTTTTTTCTCTGTTACTGGGGTCCCGAAGGCAAGAACGAAACACAACAGTTTTGATGGAACTCTGGCGGTAACTTCAAGTATCAGTAACAAGTCGACGGTTATATGGTATCCTCGAGCTGCTTTGGGCTAGAAATTTGCCGGGAGATGACCGGAGATTTCTACTTTCTTCCAACGTAAGATCCCAATTTAGACAAATCTGGAATCCAAAATGATAGTTCAGACGATCCAGTTGCAAACATTAGGTTTCCAGGAGCCCATTTAATAACTGGAGGTTCATTTTCGGTGCTCTTCCAGCTTGTGACCTGGATAGGTTACAAACACAATTAGCAGTGTTAGAACCATCACAGACTGTATTAAAGTGGGTACAAATCATTACAGATAAAAGAAGAATATTATTTATCTTACTTCTTTCCCGCTCCGAACACTCCAAGCATAGACACTACCATCACCTGAACCTGCCAAAAGTTTAGAAACCAATAGATCACTTGTAGTCTTGTATGCCAATCTGGTGATCATGCAGGTTATTGTTGTCATGGATAGGTTTATGGGGAACGTTAGGGAAAGCAAGTATTTTCTGGGAAGTCTAATTAATAAAATATATGCATGAAAATGAAACGACAGCCTTCAAGAAACTATGTGTGAAAATGAAATGAGGGCCTTCAAGAAACTACGCAAGAAAAGATGAATTTCATTAACAGTACGCAGCCAACAAGATGATATCCCAGAGCTTGCTCACATGGCATTAAAAATGAAAGAGGAGAAGTGCATACCTGATATGACAAACATCCCCTCGGGGCTAAAAGAAGCCTCTAACGTTGAACTGCCGGAGACTGGCTTTACATTGTATGTGGTTAACTAAACAACAATGATAGGGAAGCCATATCAGAAAGAATAAATCATGCAGAGTCTATCAATTTAAGATAATCTGAGTTAATTCAAAGCACTATTATTTACGCTAATAATGAGTTGTTGTCGAGAACTTACAAGAGTTCCACGGAATGAATCAAGAACATGAATATGTCCACCTGTGGTTGTTAAAAGCATAAGTCTCCCATCGTTACTGAACTTGATAACATTTGCATCTGACATATCTCCCCCAACAGAAAAGATTTCAAAAGGACCCTAACAAGATAAAACAGTTTAGGCAATCAAATCAGCCATGCTTAACTCTACATAACTGCAAACTTCCCAATTTTCATTTGTACTCAAATACAAATTACAAAGCAACTAACCTTTTCGTACATTCTGGCATCAAACATTCTTATGTAACCACCAAAGGCAATTGCAAAAACTAGCCCTTGATCATCATAAGCTGTGGCAGGCCTTCCTTGAACGCGTAAAAGACCCTAAAATACAGGTAAATATTATAAACCATTTGAAGAAATAACTTAAATGTAAGAAACCGTACCCAATAACTACCTGGCACTTCTCGGCACGTTGATCCCAAAGCAGAACAGTTCTATCAAGAGAGCCTGAGATGAAGCAGTCTTTACGAGAACACAAGCTAAGCGAGACTACCCTACAAAAAACATATAAAACCCAATTTTATAATTGCGCATATAAGCTCGCTAAAAGCACCCACTTAGGAGAAAACAAATAGCCATTGATCCTGAAACCAAACCTGTCATGGTGGCCTTTGAAGTAGCGCAAGTACTTGTTGTCATTCAACGAGAGAAGCCTCAAGGATTCTGAATGAATAAATCATAATATCACATTAGTAACTGGCCATTCTAAGTAAACACATGATATCAAGCATATATATCAAATGCAAATGGTGAGATAAAAGCGTAAAAATGCAAAGCATACCATCCCAGCCATTTTTGGAAGAGTATATAACGGTTGTCGGATGTGAAGTAAAGCAAACCAAATCAACTCCATACTTTTTGCTATTGATGGTCTTCAAGCATGTTGCAGTGGAGACATCATACAGGCGAATCGACTCGTCATCACTAGCAGTCACTACATAACTATACGCCTTGTGAAAGTCCAACGAACTAATTCTACCACTCTGTGCATAAAAACCCAAACAATGACTTAAATTTCATTTCTTTTTAACACGACGGTGTTCTAAAATACTCTAATACGAGAAGGCGGATTCGAACTCGAACCCACATATGCAAATAATTACTCAGATTCAAATAATAACTGATAAAATTAAATAAAACAATCAAGAAACAGAAAGGTAAACGGAATTACATAGTCTCTGAAAGCTAACCCAACTTCCATGCTTTGAATAATTTCCTCCGTCAGCTCCAGAGACACCTTATCTTCTCTTTCGGATCCCCCTTTTCGCAGCAAAAATTATACCAAGTTAAATTAAATTAAATCAGTAATTCTACACCAATTCGCAACAAATTAAAGCGAAAAATATGAAAATTTTCATACCAGCCATTTGGGATTGTTGATAGTGTGATGGGTTTATCTCATTTGGCGAAATTATAAATTTCAGTGACACCCTCCGCCGCCTGCCTGCGTTTCAACCTCCGCAACGTGAAATCCTCCGCCCCTTTTTTCTTCTTTCTAAAACCTGCCCGGTTCCAACTTTTTTCCTGCCAAAATTAGAAAACCGGGACATTGCTATTGGCTATTGGGTGAGCTCAAGCCCGGCCCAATGGGCATTGGGTTAGACTTGAGCTCTTTGGGTCCTATTCGGCTTAAACTTACGTCATGTCGTTTAAAGATCTTTTCTTGGTCATGTTGCCAAAGCTTCTGCTTTTGGTCAAGGTCTTTTTAACATTATATCGTATTTAACGCTGTTCGATAAGTTTAATTTTTGAAATTTCTGTCGTGGATAGATATAAATTTTAAAATTTAAACTCATTTAATGATAAGATGCAGATATATTGATGGTTAGATGACTAGCAAACATCCCATGAAATAAGTTTATTTCATGAGACTAACTCGTAACATTTATGCCGCTGCGTTAGAGAGAACTGAGAACTCCTGAGTGTATGATGAGCAATACCACTACTTGAGGATGGGGAGCAAAAATGCACCGGTGAAATGATTGTGTATTTAGGTCTAGTAGCGATGTTTCCAACTTAAGTTATGTCATGTATCCAACTTAGGGGATTTACAAACTTATTATGTGAGAGTGATACGCTTTAGATTCTGGAGGCTATTAGCGATTCTTCTGTCAATCTGTCTTCCATTGGACAAGTTATAGAAGACATCAAGGCCATTATTTCTATAGTCATTGAAGTTTCTTTTACCCACACTCGCCATCAAGCTAACGGGGTTGCTCATAGGCTCGCTTGTACTGGTTTGTCTGTGGATCAATTTTGTGAGTGGTTAGTATCTCCTCCTAGTATTATCTTGGATATACTGGTCGAGGATAGTTCTTTTCCCTAATTTCTCTCTTTGATTCATTATTGCCTTATTATTGAAATACAACTGCTATCGTTTCCTTAAAAAAAAAAAATAAATGAATAAAAGTTATGTGATGTGTCCAACTTGTCTTTTACCTTATTTATTCAACAAGACTTAAACGTATATACGGATAAAACTAGTTTTAGGTCTACTAGAAGTGAGTGTTTTCACGAAGTTAGAGAAAGTCCCAGGTTAAACTAGCATAAATTTCAAAAGGATACATCTTGACAGTAAGTTTGATGCTCAGTTGAGCCAGTGCATTGTTAATTTAAAGTCGCATAAATTCCAAAAGAATACATCTTGACAATAAATTTGATACACATTTGTGCCAGCACATTAGCTCTAACACCATTAAAAAAATGGAGTTTTAACGAAAAGTTCACGGTACTGTTTACTTTAACGAAAAATCACATTTTTACATTAAAAAGTTAAACCTGGTACTATTCACTTTACCTTTTATTTTGTCTTTATAGTTAAAACTTAAAATTTTCAAATCATTTTCATTAGCTTTCCTTTAAAAAAACACTTCAACATCGGTCTAAACTCCGACGAAGAAAGTTTTGAGTGCACGAGGACAAAGCTTTTCTTTTAGTTAATAAGCATCCATTGTATTTATTTAGGGAAATGGGTTTAGCATAGCAATATCACAGTTATGCTTCCAAAAAGTGAAGTGTGGTCGGTATATGATAATTAAACAATAAAAACGTTTTCATTTTCAGCGTTTTAAACAATGGTATGGGAATGAAGGATATTTGGCTTGACTCGTTTTTTTTTCTTCAAATAATAGCGTTAATAGGTTAAATAATTAATTATTATGGGAAGAATAATTGGTGGAGATTAAACCCTCATCATGATGTAAATACATAATTGTTTTCTACCACTACGATAATGCGCCATCTGCTTCACTTGTTTGAGTATATGTTGCATTATTTCTTCTCTCTTCCAAAATTATGAGAGTTTACTATTATTCAGCTGGTTTTTATAATAAATAACGAATTTAATGAATTATGAATATAGAATCAATTCCCTGTAAATATGCATATCGATAATTTACAATTCACTCTCGCATTTTCAACCAACACTCTCTGTGGAAATAAATTGGTACAAACTCATGAACAATATATACTCTCACATCTCACAAATTCAAGATAAATCAAACACTTAATAACTAAAATCTCACATAACTAGCACAGGTATGACCACGTCTCAATCCGCTGCGCCATCAACGGAACTACTAGCACTAGCAGAAGAGCCGCGGTTGTCTTGGTCCTCCGGCGAAGCCTTCTTCTTGATAAACTCAATGCAATCCGCGACAGCCTCGCTGTGGTGAGAGTCGTTTTGACAGTAATACCGCTGCACATCTGCACTAGATCGGCCACCGTGGCTCGCGGCCTTGTTGGAAGAGACTGCCGACAACATGATCAAGCGAAAAACAGCCTCGCGAAACCGGTCGAGGAGAGTCATGGGAGACAGACGTTTGCTGATCTTGTTTGTGCATGAGGGGTTGTTGCTTCTCATCCTTGGAATGCATAGATGGGTTTTCATAGTTTTCTTGGAACTTGCTAGCTTGCTCTATGGCTTCCTTCTCTCTTGGTCTCTCTGTGTCTGAAATTCTTAATTCAGTTGTGGTCGTTGAAGCATGAGAGAGTACTAGCTACTATATTTATAAGAGAATCTATTTGCATGGGACGACAACTCAGGATTTGTGTGTATATATATGTATTATAATATATATGTGTGTGTGTGTGTGTGTATATGTTTATTTTTATGTACAATGTGTTTGACTTGTTTGTTTGGTAATGTTTTCTTTGCAAAACTTGGTTTCATTTTGAAGAAGTTTGACCTTTTTTTACTGTATCAGAGCAAGTTGTCTTATGTGCATGTGAAGCTCAACGACCATCTATACTCCACGTCATTCAATTTGTGTTATCCACATGCTAGGTTTGAAAATTCGCCACACAGGACGTGCTGAGAGTATTAATTAAACATCAGGGAAAGAAGGGATCTTGCATGTGCTTATAAGTAATTAAGCTACTTCCTGCATTGCCAACTGATTTTATGATGAAAGTCAAACTTCTTCACATTATACCGTGAGCTTCAAATAACCAAAAATGCTTATGATAACTTTTGACAGAAAATCTAGTGCTTCATGGATCGTTAGAGTATTTTTTTGTGGTTTTTTTTTGGAAAAGCAAATAATAAAAACACTTGATTTAAAGATAATCAATATCAAATTTGGGGGTGTTTCTAACAGAAACTTTGTCAATAAAAGTGTTTCTGAGCATAAATTGTTAGAAGACACATTCAAGTAATAATCAGCATAACCGATAGATTTTCAATATATTAGATATTATCTATGTAAGGGTGGAGTCAAGAGTGTGTTGTCTTCACAATGGGTTAACAACAATAAATTGATTCGACTTTATCTTTAGCTAAAATCAAATTTAAAATTTCATACTTATAAATGAAAATAAGCACATTAAACCGTGATAATAAACGACGACATAATCGATTATTTAGATTCAGCATATGCATCTATCCGAAAAAATAATAACATTTAATATATATTGGTTTGTTTGGGGCAGTTGGGAAGAAGTAGGGTACTATAACCATGCATGCATGTTACTTGAATAAAAGTTGTCTTCATCACTGATGACCTTCACATGGCCCCATGTGCATGGTACATAATTTAATCAAATCTGTATATCAACCGCATGGTTTCTATTCGATTCCGCCGACTTACTGGCCAGGAAAAATTAAAGGACAATCGTTTTTGTTTAATTCTGTGAACTACCACCACAACCCCAAGTTACTGTGTTTGTAGCTTCCACAAATTTCTGTGTGCGTTTTTGCTCATTGTTTTAAAGTGGTGTGGTGCTGATCAGTGATCACCCTATTGTTATCATTATATTAGTTTAGTTTTCGAAACTTTTATGGTAAATAGATTAATCAAACTTATCAAGAGTCACACTCTCTTAAGGTTTTCATTTTGAGAACGTATGAGAACCAAATACATATTAACTACATGATTATATTAATTTATATCAAAAGGCTTAAAATATTTGACAACTTAATAAAGCAAAACAATAAAATGAATTTTCTAAACGGTTTATGGATTTTATGTTGACTTTGCTTTATCAAATTGTCGAATATTTTAAACCTTTGAATCTAAACTAATATAATCTTATAATTAATAAACATTTGGTCCTTACTGTTCGCAAAATAATAACATTAAAAGAACAATACTGACTCATCAAACGATAATTAATAGAGTGATAGCATTGTCACCGACTCACCATCACTTTGGTAGTGAGCAAAAGCATTTCCCAAATTTCTGGGTGGGAAGATAAATAAATTACAAATAATAAAGAATTGGGGTATATATGTGAGAGATGGAGCATAGTAACTAGGGTTCGTGGGGGGTCAATGTCTCCACCATGCTGCCAATTTGCTGTCGCTCTGTTTGTTGCTAGTTTTGTATATACAAAATATTGAGGGAGTACTTGCTTTGACAATAGATAGCAATGGAATTCATGCCATGAGTGTGATAACAATATTAAAGTTATAAATAAATAAACTTAATAGTTCTATCCTTCTTATTCACTCAATTGATAGTTGAATTTTACTTGTAATGATTTAAAGAAAAAATTTAACAATCAACCGTCACATCATATGGTTCCTAAAATATTGGGGGTAATGCTAGAAATATCAAAAAATTTAAACTAAACTTGTAAACCAAATGATGTGATGTTTGATCGTTGGATTATTACATAAGTGTTTATTAATATGTTTATTTCCTACCACATTCACAAAAACAGAGCTCTTATGTTTTTGTTTCACTCGTTTCCACCCGTAATCTCATCCCCTTGAGAGAGAGATTGCATCCGTCAATTGTACACAAGACTTTCTCGCTCGTGGGAGCCTTACGCTCTCGGAGACCCACCTTCCTGAATTGCCTTACTTTTGCGAAAAAGCCATCCAACCATCATAGGCATCAAAGGCTTCTTCTTATTTGGCTTTCTAACAGAACTAGGGTTTCCATATCCCTCATGCAACCCTTCTTTATTAACAATAACCTGAGCCAACGAAGGAGGACTTGCAAACTTCACATGTCTTTCCTTCTGCACAAATTCCTCAGCCTCTTGGCTCAACATTTTTTTGGTTTCGAACTTCGTGTCTCCGGTCGCGATGAACTTAAAATCTTCTTCAATCTCAGGATCAACTCGGTGCTTCTGATCATCAAACTCTCTTGCCTTCAAGTAATTGTGGAGCTCTTGTTTTGAACGTTCAAGATCTTCTCTTAGTGACTTGATGCTGTACGCCATTAAGTTGTTTTCTTCTCTAACTTTCTGTAGACTTTTCTTTGTTTCTTCGAGCTCGGCCATTAAGACCTCGATCCTCGACTGAGCAGCATGTCCATTAGTGTCATTCGACCCTGCAGCTCCAATCTAACATAGAAAATAATACACTATAAATTTATAATATGTGACAAAAAAGTTGTATATTGAGAAATGAAATTCAAGTAAAATGGTTTGGTGGTGATGGGTTTTCGGTCAGTCGCTGACATGAAAACGGGTGACATGATCGGAATGGTGGGTGGGTTTCAAAGAGTGGTGATGGAGGAATGGTTCTAGTACGTGATCTGTGGGTGCACGAAGAACTTGAATACGCTCATGCCCACAGAAAATGCGGGGTTTAGCCAAACGCGCACATATGATAATTACGCTTCGACACCAATTTAATTCCAAAAACTCGAATAGTTAAAAGGAGCAAAGCTAACTAGCTAGATTACCTCTTTGAGCTTATTGGCATATATTTCTCCGACCAAAACTCTTTCGCCGAACAACATAACTGCTTCTTTGACTGACCGGAAAGGTGCTCGGGTGTCGATCTCTGCCCGGCCCATGACCACCAGTTTACCCTCGTCGGCGTTCATGGTTAGGCAAACTAATGATGGATATTAATGGTGGAGTTGACGAGTGAGGGACCTTTTTAATACAAGTTTCAAAACGGTGGGCTGTAGCTACAACTGGAGGTCGTTGGAAGCGGATGGTGTGGTGTGAGATTAGCTTTCTACTTAAAGGAAGTTAAGAAAAATGATCATATGAGGGGTTTTGTTTCCTTGGCGTCCACTTCACTGAATTTTGTTAATTGAAGTTGACAAGGGTGGTTGGAACATCTTGATCATTTTGTTAGCTCTTGACTTCTAGCAAGAATTTGGGCTCCATCCTTTTTACTAATAAAAATTCAATGCGTCTTTAGATAGATTGCTCTAGCCGATAATGTCTTTTTTTTTCAACCCACAGTGTTTCGTATTCATGAGAATTCCGTAAAAGTTTCATTCCCAATGGAGAAAGTTTGAAATAATTGGGATCTTCTGGAGATTGGATCCAATTACTAATTAATGATATGAGCCAAGGATCATAGGCGGATCAAAGTTAAGTATTGCAAATCCTAGTTCGCTTTCTAATCACTTTAAGACCAGTCTTCAATTGCATGAAGCTTTAGTGGCATAGAATTTGCCGCCTGGTCGGACAGATGAAAGTAGAACTATCTAGTGATGAATATTTGAATCATTCTCTCTTTGTTTCATATGCTTAGAATAGTAACATCGCTTGTAATGAAAAAAAAAAAAATTCAAGTTTTATAAATGTTTATAAGGGTTATGAAATCGTTATTGGCACTTCAAATATCTTATTATGCACTCCAAATTTTTTATATTTCTAAGAAAAAATATACTTGAGTGCAGAATAAGGTTTTTTATGGAATGCTAATAACAATTCTCGGTAGGTCATGATATTTATTGTTACTACTTCATTGTTAAACACGTGTGGTACAATTTAAGAAGTGTGCAATTAACTGTCGAGTCCTATAAAAGAGTTTGACGTACCATTCTCATACGTGATAAACTCAAGAGAGCGCTCCAACCAAATAATGTAGGACAACTTTGCACTCCGGCGCTACCGCATTACTTCGTGGCGATGTGATACTTGCAACAAGGATATATATGAACTTGCTGTGCAGGGGAGGGAAGATTCATACGCTTGGCACTCCTTGGGAAATTTCCTTCTACTTGGAAAAGCATTTAACGCAAATAGTATTATTGGAAATAAATTTTGATTGCTAAATATGGGAATGGAATAAACCAATACTTTTTGGTCGCATTTTACACCGTTTCCAAACACGTGATTGAAAATGGTAGTTTCAATTCCAAAGAATCTAATTTGTAAATCAAACAACTTAAGAAAATAAATTTAAAATTACTCTATTACCATTATGATGTTTATAAAACAATAATATCTAATCCCAAGAGGCACGAAAGAACATCGGCCAAAAAGAACACTGATCCAAAAGAAGGTCTTAGCTTGACGTATTTGGAAGAATGGTCCCAAGCACTTTGGGAGCTCATGGCCTCCAAATGTTCTATCAACAACTAGGCCGAATGCTTCACATAAAGTACTTTTGACCGCTGAAGGGCAAGTTGGTGCATTGACAGCTTTATGGCACAAGGTTCCAGGAGCAAAGGGGCATGTCTACTAAGACATGAACTCCAGGCCATGTGGCGGTCAGCCAACGGAATAGAGGCATATGAAAGGACATAAAGGTTGACAGGTAGGGCGTTCGGGTGTAGATTTCCACCAACCCGAGAGCCCTGAGCAAGGCGCTCAGCTGTGTTGTCCCAAGAAAGCATGCAAGTAGACTTGCACAAATGTCACCTCGTTACCATGTGTCCGCCAAAACGGAGGGACAACTAGAAGGTCAAATTTGTATATTTGGTGCGTTAATTGCAAATGAAGTGATAGGCTTGAGCCCATAGACAGAGGGCTCATTGAGGCCTTATATTAGGAGGACAAAGTATTTCTTAAAAGGGGTCGAAGGAATGGAGAGGGATAAATTATTGTGTTAAGCTGAGCGCTATTTCTAACCTCATATTCAATATAGTGAAAGAAGCTCATTACATGTAACCCAATTTTGAAAGGTAAACTACTTAAATTTTGCTATCAATTTCCTATTATTTTCCTCTAATGAACTTGTATTAACTGTTGATGTTCTGATAAACTTATATTTTAGTCAATTTTGGCATTAGTTATTTTAAATGGCCAATTTTTACACACATCTCACTCAAATTTTCATTAAAAATTCACTAAACATTATTCTTTATTTTCCTTTTCTGAAATATTACTCTTAATTTTTTTTTCTTTCTTAAGACAAAATATTAGAAAACCATTGATTGGTCAAATAAAAGAAGATCCATATGGGCCACATCCAAGTTTTTGGCCCTCTAACGTTCCACAATTTCGTCGAACCACTATATAGAACGGCCTTCGTCCCCAAAAGACCACTATTCCCCTCAAATGTCGATTGTCGAGTCCTCCCCGAAGGACCTGAGTCTTTGACAGAGACACTGTCAGCGTAAATAGCTTAACCTTTACGGAAATTAGAACGATCACGAACAGCTCACCAATTTCCAAAACCCTAATTTCCCAAACATTCAAAATTAAATCCCCTTTTTCTACCATCCCTTCTATTTCAGCCACTGCAGCAAGTAGCGGAGCTCCGGGTTTTGCTTGGAGTGGAAGAAGCTAGGGTTTTTGGGTGGTTTGTGCTCATGCTACTGAGTCCATGAGTCCTGTTCAGAATTTCGAGCAACATGCTCGGCGTCTCGTCGAGCCCGACCTCCGTACTCTCTCTCTCTCTCTCTCTCTCTCTATATATATATATATAGATATAGATATATAGATATACGTATATTTATCTGTCAAGCATAATTCAACTATGTTTTTGAACTTTTAAACCTCCGTTAGTAGAAATTTTAATATTTTCCCGTTAGTGCATGTCTAGTAAACCAAACACAGCCTCCGTTTTCGGACTCAATTAACTATGATAGATAAAGCTTAATTTTGATTCAACCAAGTTTGATTGATGGGTCTTTAAGATGTTATTGTTCGTTTTTATTTGGAACAGCAATTCAGGCAAGGCTTCAGATGGCAATGGAGGTTCGGGACAGCCTAGAGATTGCACACACTGCAGAATACTTGAATTTTCTAAAATGCTACTTTAAAGCATTTTCAACGATTCTTGAGAAAATTACAAAGCCACAGTTTACTGACAATCCCGAACACAAGCTCCGGAATATAGTGGTGGAGATTCTCAATCGTCTCCCCCACAGTGAAGTACTCCGCCCTTTTGTCCAGGAGCTCTTGAAGGTGGCAATGCATGTACTTACTACTGACAACGAAGAGAATGGCTTGATATGTATTCGTATAATCTTCGATCTCCTCAGGAACTTTAGGCCAACTCTGGAAAATGAAGTTCAGCCATTCTTGGACTTTGTTTGCAAGGTTTACCAGAACTTTAAGTTGACTGTTAACCATTTCTTTGAAAATGGGGCGGTGGGCGGGGAGGATATTAAGCCGATGGATACTTCTTCAGATCAATCGTTGAGTGGTGGTATTGGAGGTGGTAGTATCGGCGGTGGTATTGGCGGTGGTATCGGCGGTGGTATTGGCGGTGGTATTGGCGGTGGTATTGGCGGTGGTATTGGTGGTAGTGGGTATGCTGGGGGTGGGCAGCTTAACCCCAGTACCCGTTCTTTCAAGATAATTACCGAGAGTCCCCTGGTGGTCATGTTTTTGTTTCAGTTGTATAGTCGACTTGTGCAGACCAATATTCCTCACCTATTGCCTTTGATGGTTGCTGCTATATCTGTTCCTGGCCCTGAAAAGGTTCCTCTGCATTTGAGGACTCATTTCATTGAGTTGAAGGGTGCACAGGTGAAGGTAAGCAGGTGTTTTTGCTGAATATATATGTATTAAATTCTGTGAGCGGGGCACTGTTCTTTCTTACTTATCATCTCATGTTTTTGTCCACTCATCAGTGTTTTCTTCTTTAGTTGTTTACTAGTTTGTTTCTCTTCTGTTGCAGACAGTTTCATTTTTAACGTATCTGTTGAAGAGCTTTGCTGATTATATCAGGCCCCATGAGGAAAGCATATGTAAAAGTATAGTCAATTTGCTTGTTACATGTTCAGATTCTGTATCAATTAGAAAGGCAAGTATTCTTGTCTCTAATTTAATCTTTCTCCACTTGGATCCGTTTCTTCTTTCATGACTGTAGTCTGAATGACCAATATTTTGTTGGGCGCAGGAACTGTTAGTAGCCTTAAAACATGTTCTTGGAACGGATTTCAAGAGAGGTTTATTTCCTCTGATTGACACACTATTGGAGGAAAGGTAACACTGTTGACTCAATCATACGGTGACCTCGAAATTGCAAAAAACATGATACAGAAAGTTTACTTCAAGCTGACTTGTGAAATCTTTGATAAATGCAATATCTTCATATAATGGAGAAGAGATGTTCTTGTTTATAGCCTTCAAACATATTCTTAGAAAAGATTTCTAGAGGGGTTTGTTTTCTCTGTAATGAATTCATGGTTAAACGATAAACATTATGTGCCAGAGAGATGTACAGAAATGTGGCTGCTAAGGACATGCAGGCTGGAGAAAACATTTGGCACATGGTGCATATAGGTTGCTCTTTTAATATTTATGGGAATCTCTGCTTCCACCTAGACCAGTCTTATGCTAGAAAGTACTGTCGGTTGCCAACAGAATGAAGTGATTTCTTTTTCGGTTTTGCTGAGATATAGAAATAATTGGTTAGCTTCGTATTATGTGTCATGGAATGTGCTAAGATGTTGACTTTTATAGCATTTATATATATGTTCAATTATATTCTCCCCCAATCAGCTTCCTGTTTGAGCATCATTTTTCCTCCTTGTAGTTTGCAATAATCACAAACTTGCCAGAACTGTAGTGTCCATTCCCACATTTTTACATGTCAATTATTCCGACTTGTTTCAGTTTAAAACCTCAGTTTCACCTAGATGCTAACCTGTTTCATTGGTGACAAGAAGTAAGAATATTGTTGTAGCTAACTTCTGTTCCAGTTTTATTTAACCCCTATATGCTTTAACATTTTCAGGGTTCTGGTTGGAAGTGGTAGAGCCTGCTTTGAGACATTGAGGCCATTGGCATATAGTCTACTAGCAGAGATTGTTCATCATGTTCGTGCGGACCTCTCTTTGTCACAGGTATTTCTATTGTGTTTTGTCTAATATAAAACTAGACTGCTGTTCCATCACTGTCTTCTCATTAATGAGGCTCGACCCTTCATTATACACTTTTCATTCACTGTGTATTGGATGGTCATACCTCCTTATCATCATCTGCAATTAGGCCCGGTGTCAGCCTTCAGTTATGCATTCTGAGAATTATGGATATTGACTTGATTGTTGCACTTCTGCAAGGTGAGAGAAGAAAGCCGGTTTAGTAGTTCATAGGTGGGAGATTTATGCTGATTTTTTTTTCGATGAAAGGAGATCTCCCTTTTACTTGATTTCTTTTTTCAATGAAGCTCGTTTTTCCTATCTAAAAGAAGTTGGTTCAACCTGAATCCTTAAATGAACTTTGTTTAAGTTTAAGTGCATTGTCCAGCGTTATGAGTATGCTTCCCAATAAATCTTTTATGAGCCAAAGTAACCTTCCTTTAATATGATTGAGAAGTGTGAAATCAATCAATTAACTGGGTTTTGTGTTTTTCTTCTGTATTCTTCCTTTAATGATCAGTGCCCCATTTGGCACTTCTTTTCCTTTTTTATTTAGTTTCTTAATGTTTGATGGTTGTTAATCGCAACAGTTGGCATCATACTTTCAAATCACACATTCACACAGTATTTTCGAACAAGCTTACCTTTATAACCTTTATGCTGCAGTTATCCCGAATCATATACTTGTTTTCAAGCAACATGCATGATGCTTCATTGTCGCTCAGCATTCATACTACTTGTGCTCGCTTGATGCTGAATCTGGTGCATATGCTAACTCTATTCTCCAGGAGATTATGTCTGTTTTGTTTCATTTGGGGATGCACTTTATGTATTGTTTTTTTGGTACACTATGCAGGTGGAGCCAATATTTGAGAAAGGTGTTGACCAACCATCTATGGATGAAGCACGGATTCTATTGGTCTGAGTTACAGCCTAATTGTTTGCCTATATTGGCTTGACTTGGATAACAGTACGAATTTTCTCTTTCCTCCATTCTTATAAAATAATTTGGTTCTTTGTAGGGGCGTATATTGGATGCTTTTGTTGGAAAATTTAGTACTTTCAAGCGCACTATTCCTCAGGTAATCTTTGATTGCTGTACCACAAGGGCCTCTTGTTTAGTTGATAATTTGGTTTCATGTGAAAGCTTTCATATTAGCATACGGGCTTATGTCAACATATAATTGTGTGTGTCGTCTTTGTAAGGTTGTTGTGAGTAAAAGAGTTTTGTGTTGCATTTCATACTTTTTGGACCTCAAACAATGATGTGTTTTCCAACAATGTATTTAGATTTATATTTGAGGGAGTTGGTTTTTGAAAAGAAGAAGCTTAATTCCAAACCAAAGAACTTGACATATAAATTTATAAAGTGAACAAGTAATCCACCATACACAGGCAAGATAAATATAATTGATTACGCTACATCGATCTTAATACACTCTATATTATGATATTACAGCTTTCCAATCTCGAATATGATCAGATAAAGATATGTTCCTAAAGACAGGAGAAACATGGGCCCAAAGTGCCACCCAAAACTTAACCTTCTCTGCACGTCCTCCACTTCCATCCCTCTGACATCTTCATAGATTTGTTGATTCCTTTCTGACCAAATAGCCCAAACAACAGCCAGCATCAAGCAGTTCCAGAAAACTTGAGCCTTTTTTTTCACCACCTAAGATCATAAACTTCCCACTAAACAAAGAGAAGCAAGGTTTTGGTACCACCCAGCAAACATGGATACCGTTAAATAAAAAACACCATAATTTCTGGCTAAAAGGGCCTGATAAGAAGGCATGATCAGCACTCTCTCCTGAACTTTGGGAGAGTCGTTGGCTTGTGCGGTTCTTTGTATTTGCTTATATCTGGGTGATTTTGGTTGATTGTTATTTGTTTCATGCTTATTTGTCAATACTGACATGTATTCTGTCAACTGATAGTTGTTGGAGGAGGCTGAGGAGGGAAAGGACCGTGCTACTCTGAGGTCAAAGCTTGAGCTCCCTGTGCAGGTAGTTTTGTCAACTTTTCTTTGAGATGCTGTTTGTGTGGGCATTAATGCCTTATGGTTTCCAGTTGTCTGTTAATATTTTGTCTTGTATCACTTGTCCGAGCTCTCTTTTCCTTTTAATGATAGCTATAGGTTTATCACCTATGTTGCACTTGTGACTGATGTTAAAAAATGGTAGTAAATATGGTTACCATTAGGGATTATGAGCCAATTGAATTACACGTAGCTTTCAGTTTCCTTTTTGAAAATTTCTGGAATTATGACGTGGCACAGGTTTTGAAACTGCTTGTATTGATGTAATTCTTTGGAAAATCAGGTCGATATTACTTTTTGTATGGAAATAAAATGCAGGCATATTAGTTGTATTGCTGTGGTTCAAAGGAGGCCCCATTCTAGTTTATCCCCTCACTGGTGCATCCTTTGCAAATCCAATTTGGAATTGGTTGACCATAGTTTCTTGCATTGTCTGGTGACTTTGAGTTTGTAGCTGAAGCTGGTTAAGGAGATGGGCATCACACGGGTCGTCCCGAAAAATTATCACCCCCCCTTTCTCTAGTGAATTGGAAGGGAACGAAAGCCAAGTTCATGTGGGGTTGTATGTTTCATGTGAAAATTTGGGTCGTTTGGATGGAGAGAAATAAAAGGATCTTGGATGATTTGAAGGAGCTGGTTTCACAAAGCTGTGGGATATAGTTTTGTTTTTGGCTGTTCTCTGGGCCTCTGTTTCCTCAGAGCTCAGGGGAATTTCTCTCTATTTGACTAGGCTAGACTAGAAAGCCACCGTTCTAATTGCTTTTTGGTGTTTGTTTGTGCTGGGTTGTTTTCTATGTTCTAGTTTCTAACCTGTGCTGTTTTCTTTTTTTGGTTCAGTCTTCTTGACCTACCTCTTTGCTGTTTTCTTTGATCTTAATACAATCATTTACTTATAAAAAAACTTCTTCCATTTCTTTAATTGCTTGATTGAATAGCCATCCTTTTTCATTAAGCACAGGATCTTTTTCATTTTTTATTTACTTTGTGGCATATCATTTGGTTGCAGGCAGTTTTGAACTTGCAGATAACCGTTGAGCATTCTAAGGAAATCAATGATTGTAAGCATCTGATTAAGACATTGGTCATGGGTAATTGATCCTCACCACATTTTTTGCTATTTCTCTCCATGCCATAGATAATAATGATACTTGTACTTCTGATAGTTATGTTCTTCAGTTGGGTTTTTGTTTTTATTTTTTTAATTTATAAATAATTGATCAGTCTTTGCTGTATTTGTCAGGAATGAAGACTATCATATGGAGTATCACTCATGCACACTCCCGTGCACAAGTATTATTATCTCTGTTATTAGTTTTTCCTGAGTTTGTTAACATTTGTTATCTTATTCAACATTTCTGATGGTTTAAGGTTTCTCCTTCCACGCTTGGAACACACCCACAGGTGCTTGTTTCACCATCATCTAATTTACCAGCACCTCAAGCATTTAAAGGGATGCGAGAAGATGAGGTATTACAAATTTACAAATTCATATAATGAAATTTAACATTTGTATTGTGGTCCCAATTACTTGATACGACTTTGTTATTGGGTAGGTTCGGAAAGCTTCTGGTGTTTTAAAGAGTGGGGTGCATTGCTTGGCTCTATTCAAGGAGAAGGATGAGGAGAGGGAAATGCTGCAGCTCTTTTCCCAGATTCTGGCTATTATGGAACCTCGAGATTTAATGGACATGTTCTCGTTGTGTATGCCTGAGCTATTCGAGTGCATGATTTGCAACACACAGTTGGTTCACATATTCTCGACACTTCTGCAAGCTCCTAAAGTATACCGCCCCTTTGCAGATGTTTTGGTTAATTACCTTGTAAACAGTAAACTTGACGTTCTGAAGCAGCCAGATACACCTTCAGCAAAACTAGTATTGCATCTCTTTCAGTTTGTATTTGCTGCAGTTCCAAAAGCGCCTTCAGATTTTGAACGTATTTTGCAACCTCACATTCCTGTTATAATGGAAGTGTGCATGAAAAACGCTACTGAAGTTGAAAAGCCTCTTGGTTATATGAAACTTCTTCATGCAACATTTCGAGCACTTGCAGCATGCAAATTTGATCTTCTTCTGAGGGATTTGATTCCTATGTTACAACCTTGTCTTAATATGCTGTTGATGATGCTTGAGGGTCCAATAGGGGAAGATATGAGGGACCTTTTGCTGGAGTTGTGCTTAACCTTGCCTGCACGCTTAAGTTCTTTGCTACCCCACCTTCCCCGTCTTATGAAGCCTCTTGTTTTGTGTCTTAAAGGAAGTGATGATCTTGTGAGTTTAGGTTTAAGAACACTTGAGTTTTGGGTAGATAGTTTGAATCCTGATTTTTTGGAACCCAGCATGGCCAATGTAATGTCTGAGGTGATTTTGGCCCTATGGTCTCACTTGAGGCCTGCTCCCTATCCTTGGGGTGCAAAAGCATTGCAACTCCTTGGTAAGTTAGGAGGTCGTAACAGGCGTTTTCTCAAAGAACCCCTTGCACTTGAGTGCAAGGAGAACCCAGAGCATGGTCTTCGCACAATTCTTACATTTGAGCCTTCAACCCCATTTTTGGTGCCACTGGATCGATGCATTAATCTTGCCGTGGAAGCTGTTATGCACAGAAATGGTGGAATTGATACTTTCTGCCGAAAACAGGCATTGAACTTTATTCGCGTTTGCTTATCGTCCCAGCTTAATTTGCCTGAAAAGATTAAGGACGACGGAGGCACACCTAGTCGGTTGTCAACTTTGTTGGTCTCTGCGGTTGATTCTTCGTGGCAGCGGCCTGAAACATCAGACATGAAGGTTAGTTTGGTTTAATGTTATTTGTTAAGTGCTGAAAGCTGTCTTCTAGTGATTTGAACCTTATGATAAAAACTTTTATTGCTTTATATGTTAGTCAAATTCATGTCTGGCCATGTAGTTGTGATAATGGTGCTAAAGTGAAAGTTGAATTATATGGTCATCCTGTTATTGGTCTTCACTGTAAGACCATCTTCATTATTTAGTGCTTTACTGAGAAGATGCTGCAAAATACTTCAGTTAATGTACGAGTAAATCTATGTATTAGAATATACCTGTGTGGCTATTAATTGTCTGTATACCTTGACTTATCTACATAATGTTCATTCTTACACCATTGTTTACTATGCCTGATCTTTTCGACACTTTATTGTCAAGATACTTTTAGTCCCCCCTCTCCCAACCAAAAAAGAATGAAAAGTGAATACTCTGTCAATGGCTTACTGGGTTTTGTATTCTCATTGTTTGTCTATTACAATTGTTTTATTGTAACTTCTATTCCATATCTTCTTTACCTGTCCCTTAATATTCTTTCCACTGAGTTTATGTTATAATAAATCTGGACATGATTAAAAAAAATAAGTATTACGTTATAATAAATCTGGACATGATTGCAGGCTGACTTAGGTGTAAAGACGAAGACCCAACTTATCGCTGAAAAATCTGTTTTCAAGACTCTCTTAATGACTGTTATTGCTGCCAGTGTGGAGCTAGATCTCCAGGACCCCAAGGATGACTTTGTTGTGAATGTATGCCGCCATTTTGCGATGATGTTCCATATTGATTCATCCTCAACTAATACCTCAGTTGCCAATGCTGCACTTGGGGGTCCTATGCTTTCATCTAATGCTCATGTGGGTTCCAGTTCCAGGTCAAAGACTAATACTTCTTCGAACCTCAAGGAGTTAGACCCGCTGATATTTTTAGACGCTCTTGTTGATGTGCTAGCAGATGAAAACAGGCTCCATGCCAAGGCTGCACTTAGTGCTTTAAATGTTTTTTCTGAAACACTTCTCTTTCTTGCTCGCTCAAAGCATGCTGATGTTCTGATGTCAAGAGGCCCTGGTACTCCAATGATGGTCTCGAGTCCATCAATAAATCCTGTATACTCTCCACCCCCAAGTGTTCGCATCCCTGTTTTCGAGCAACTTCTGCCCCGTCTTTTGCATTGTTGCTATGGTACAACCTGGCAAGCGCAGATGGGAGGTGTTATGGGACTTGGTGCTTTGGTTGGTAAGGTCACTGTTGAGACCCTGTGCCTTTTCCAAGTAAGAATTGTGCGTGGTTTGGTTTATGTTCTTAAAAGGCTTCCTATATATGCTAGCAAAGAGCAGGAAGAGACAAGTCAGGTGCTTACACAGGTTCTTCGTGTGGTTAATAATGTCGATGAAGCAAACAGTGAACCACGCCGGCAGAGCTTTCAAGGAGTGGTTGATTTCCTTGCTGCAGAATTGTTTAATCCCAATGCATCTGTTATTGTCAGAAAGAATGTTCAGTCGTGTTTGGCACTTTTGGCTAGTAGAACTGGTAGTGAGGTATCTGAGCTACTTGAGCCATTATATCAAAATTTGCTTCAGCAACTTTTAGTAAGATCACTCCGGTCAAAAACCGTCGATCAACAGGTAATCTATGTTGTTAATGGTTATTACTAGAATTTGTTGTAGTCCTTTCTGACTTGATTTGGTGGTACATAGGTGGGGACAGTTTCAGCTTTAAACTTCTGTTTGGGCTTGAGGCCACCTCTTCTCAAGCTGACACAAGATTTGGTTAATTTTCTCCAAGAAGCATTGCAAATAGCTGAGGCTGATGAAACTGTGTGGGTTGTGAAGCATATGAACCCAAAGGTGGCCACATCACTAAATAAGCTTCGAACAGCCTGCATTGAGCTACTTTGTACTACCATGGCGTGGGCAGATTTTAAAACTCCGAATCATTCAGAATTGCGTGCAAAGATCATTTCCATGTTTTTCAAATCTTTGACATGTCGAACACCTGAAATTGTTGCTGTGGCCAAGGAAGGGCTGCGACAGGTTGTTTTCTTTTGAATTAGTCAATCCATCTCTCTTTTCTAGTTGTATTGTAATGCATGCCTGGATGTATTAATGATGATTGTTCTAGGGAATTATTGGCTTCCTTTTTTTTTTATTTTGCCTTAGTGATTGCCCCATTGTTGCTTGTCTATTTTTCTGGTAATTTTACTCATCTGGGGTCCATCTTGTTTATTTGGTCAGTTGAGCCATAACCATTTGGTGGGTGATTCATGGAATATAAATGACCATATTATGCATCATCTGGTTTCTTATTTCCTTTTCCACGGCATATGCTTTTCTTGCAATATTACTGGAAACAGTGTTTTTTATATTTTTTTATATTTTTTGAAAAATGTACTTCATTGCTGTGCAGGTTATTAATCAGCAGAGGATGCCAAAAGAACTTCTGCAGAGCAGCCTTAGGCCTATTTTGGTGAACTTGGCACATACAAAGAATCTGAGCATGCCTCTTCTGCAAGGTCTGGCCCGTCTTCTTGAACTCTTGTCCAATTGGTTTAATGTTACCTTAGGTGGCAAGCTGCTGGAACACCTAAAGAAATGGTTAGAGCCTGAGAAACTTGCACAAAGTCAGAAATCATGGAAGGCTGGTGAAGAGCCAAAAATTGCAGCCGGTAATGTATTTTTGGTTGTTTACTTTTGGTGATTTTCTTGTATGCCTATACATATGCATGTTTACAGATCTTATTACGTCACATTTGTGTTTTTTCCAGCTATCATCGAGCTTTTTCATCTTCTTCCTTTGGCCGCATCAAAGTTCCTTGATGAGCTTGTAACCTTGACTATTGAATTGGAAGGAGCTCTTCTTCCTGGACAAGTATACAGTGAGATTAACAGTCCATATCGCCTTCCACTCACAAAATTTTTGAATCGCTATGCGACATTAGCAGTCGATTATTTTCTTGCTCGATTAAGTGAACCGAAGTACTTCAGGAGGTAATATTTAGTTATGATATTCATGTGTGTGTATTTATGCATGGATAAATAGACAGTTAAAACTGAACCAATCCCCAACACGGTTTGGATCAGCCAATTTAGGCAGCCTTGTGATCTTTTGTCCATCATTTACCATGAAAATCCATGGTCACCAACTGTTGAAATAAAATAAATGGTTGGCATTATTTAGATTCAGGGATAATTGACCATGGAAGTATTCATGGTCATTGGTGACGAGTGGTCTATAAACTTTCTACGGATAAATGTATGTCTAAATTTTCAGACATCATATCATTATGATTAAATTGTGTTTGTACTCATCCGGCGTCCATACTCGTCCAGTGCTCTGTGTGCATTTAATATATTTTCTCATTTAACCTAGGTTTATGTGTATAATCCGATCGGATGCCGGCCAGCCTTTGAGAGATGAACTTGCTAAATCAGCGCAGAAAATACTTGCAAGTGTTTTTCCTGAATTTTTGCCAACTGCTTCGGGAACGTCAACTCCACCTTCTGCTTTGTTGGGTGACGAAGTTCTTGTTAAGCCTCCATCTGATAGTTCTAATCCCCCATCTGCACATCCTGGTGCAACGCCAGATGCTTATTTTCGGGGACTTGCACTCATAAAAAGTTTAGTCAAATTGATACCCGGCTGGCTACAAAGTAACCGCATGGTGTTTGATACCTTGGTACTTGTTTGGAAGTCACCCGCAAGGTTATCTCGTTTGCATAATGAACAGGAGCTGAACTTAGTGCAGGCAAGTTTAGTGGCTTGTTATATTGAAGTTCTATACTTTCTTTGTTGATCATCGATTGGGTAATATTAAGATGGGAAAAACCCTTGCTTTCTTTCTTAAACTAATTATATGACCTTTCGGTTTTTTAACTCTCTGTGTCATGTAACATGCGGCCGCGTCTGTCCCTATGGTCTTTTTACTTTCTAATGTTTTTAAATGCAGGTTAAAGAAAGCAAATGGCTTGTCAAATGCTTCCTGAATTATTTACGGCATGACAAAACAGAAGTGAATGTTCTCTTTGAAATACTCTCCATCTTCTTGTTTCATACTAGAATTGATTTTACATTTTTGAAGGAGTTTTATATCATTGAGGTATGTACTTTTCTCCCTGTTTATGTCATTTGTATTTTACTTAGTTGACTGTTTGTGAAGCAATCATCATCTGTTCTCAGGTTGCAGAAGGTTATCCACCTAACTTTAAGAAAGCACTTCTCTTGCATTTCTTAAATCTTTTCCAATCAAAACAACTTGGTCATGATCATCTGGTGGTTATTATGCAAATGCTTATTCTTCCGATGCTTGCTCATTCCTTCCAAAATGATCAAAGTTGGGAAGTTGTTGACCAAGCTATAATAAAAACAATTGTTGACAGACTTCTCGATCCTCCAGAAGAGGTATATTTCCTGCAAAAATTAAAGGCTTTCAGTGCCACTATGTCTTATCTCCTTAGTTCCCTTTTTAAATAATCAAAAGTATTTTTTTTTTTTGGTAGATTATAAATTATTTTCTTTTTTTGATCTCACCATTTCTGTACATCCATAGGTTTCTGCTGAATATGACGAGCCCTTGAGAATAGAACTTTTGCAGCTTGCCACTTTGCTTCTTAAGTATCTGCAGAATGACCTTGTACATCATAGGAAAGAACTAATCAAATTTGGTTGGAATCATCTCAAACGCGAAGATAGTGCCAGTAAACAGTGGGCATTTGTAAATGTTTGCCACTTCTTGGAGGCCTATCAAGCCCCAGAAAAAATTATACTCCAGGTATTGCACATTGTGGCCATGATATCTATTTCAATCTTTTGTTGGCACTTGGCACAAGCTGTTAATCCCTTATTGACATTAAATTTTACTGCTTCGGAAATTTTGGTTTTGGTGCTCTATTTGTCATAGAATTTCAGCTTTGTGCTATTATTTATGCTCTGACAATAGGTCACTTCCCCTTTTGTGTTTGAAATGAAAATAACATAAATCCTATAATTCTAAGCTATTTACCAAACCTTTGATTGTTAGAGTGGTCTATTAACACATATGCTTGTTCTTTGATAATATGGAATGCACCAGCATGTGCTCACAGCTCGTGCACCCCCCTAGAATGCACATTCTTTGGGTTCATTGTTGACAATTTGTTAAAATAAAAATATCTTATTTTAGTACCCTGACGTTGATTTGAGAATGCAGGTTTTTGTAGCGCTCCTGAGAACTTGCCAGCCAGAGAATAAAATGTTGGTCAAGCAGGCCCTCGATATACTAATGCCAGCACTACCACGAAGGTTGCCTCTCGGAGATTCTCGTATGCCAATTTGGATACGGTACACCAAAAAAATTTTGGTTGAGGAAGGCCACTCAATCCCTAATCTTATCCACATTTTTCAGCTTATTGTGCGCCATTCAGATCTCTTTTACAGCTGTAGAGCTCAATTTGTACCTCAGATGGTCAATTCTCTTAGTCGCCTTGGATTGCCTTACACCACCTCTGCAGAAAACAGGCGTCTTGCAATTGAACTTGCTGGCTTGGTTGTTGGATGGGAAAGACAGAGACAAAATGAAATGAAAGTAGTGGCGGATGGTGATGTTACCAATCAGAAGAGTGAGGGTTTTAATCCAGGGCCAGCTAGTGCTGATCCTAAGCGTTCTGTGGATGGGTCTACATTTCCTGAAGATGCAACAAAGCGTGTCAAAGTTGAACCTGGTCTTCAATCCCTCTGTGTAATGTCGCCTGGAGGACCATCCACAATCCCTAACATTGAGACCCCTGGGTCTGCTAGCCAACCCGATGAAGAATTCAAGCCAAATGCTGCTATGGAGGAAATGATTATCAATTTCCTTATAAGGGTAACACCCTTCTTTCAACTTATCACACTTGTTTTCATGTATGAGTGAGATGGTTTGAAAATACTATGGTTTTCGTTACTTTGGCATTAAAGAATGTCATTATTTGAACCTAAGCTTTCTGGCTGATGATGCTCTGCCCGTTGACATTCCTTCCATGGAACTTCTGGGAATAGAATAGATGTCTAAACTTATCTTGGGCTTTGACATTATATACTCCATATATAATTGAATTTGTTCTGTTTTGGTTTTGTTTTGGAAACTCTTATGGTTGGTTTATAGGACACCTATAATTGAATAGGCAATCTTTCTGTAGCTGCACTAATGTTTAGCTGACATGGAGTCCTTGTATATTTGTTTGTAGTTCATAGTCTCACCACTTTCATGGGTTTCTGGAAACAGGTTGCTTTGGTCATAGAGCCCAAGGACAAGGAAGCAAGTATTATGTACAAACAAGCGTTAGACCTACTATCACAAGCTTTGGAGGTGTGGCCAACTGCCAATGTTAAATTCAATTATTTAGAGAAGTTTCTGAGCAGCATTCAACCTCAGTCCAAGGACCCTTCCACAGCCCTTGCGCAGGGCTTGGATGTCATGAATAAGGTCCTAGAGAAGCAGCCTCATTTGTTCATCAGAAATAACATCAATCAAATTTCCCAGGTATGTTCTTACTTCTTACACCACCATCTGTTTATCGTTTTCTTTTGCAAAGTCTGCTCTTACCTGGAGTTACACACTCAACTTTGGTGTTATGGGGACTTTTTTTTGACAGATTCTTGAACCATGTTTCAAGTATAAACTGTTAGATGCTGGAAAATCATTGTGCTCCCTGTTGAAAATGGTCTTTGTTGCTTTTCCTCTAGAAGCAGCTACTACCCCACAAGATGTGAATCTAATATATCACAAGGTTGATGATCTAATAAAGAAGCACATCAATACTGTTACAGCTCCTCAAACTTCGAGTGAGGAGAGCACTGTTAATTCAATTAGCTTTGTGCTGCTTGTGATTAGAACCTTGACAGAGGTGCAAAAGAACTTTGTTGATCCTAACATCTTTGTCCGTATTCTGCAACGCCTGGCACGAGATATGGGGTCATCATCAAATTCTAATTTGAGACAAGTATGTCTATTTTCTTATATGCTTACCTCTTTCATGCTTCATATACATTCATAGAAATTTTCTTTGTATATTCCTCGTGTATATGTTTACTTGCTGCTATTTTTCTCTATTATATGTGCGTCTATTATGTTGTATCAGCTGCCAGTGATCTGCTTTTCTATGTTACTTTTTGTTTGGTTTCGGGTTTTTAAATACATCATTGCATTTTCTATTCTTGGTCTTCTGAAGTTAGAATTTATGTTGCCTTCAAGTTGTGGGATAGTTCTATCAATTATTTTGTATGCAAACCTTTGAGACAGGAGCATACGTTTTCGGTCAGAAGGAGAACTCTGACAATTTGCAACCCAGTTGGAGAACACACCTGTGATTTGGCATTAATGATAATTGTTTACTAATCCTTTTTTCCAACTTAAACACGAAGTCTTATACACAAGATTTTGAACTCAGGACCTCCTCCATCAAAAGTGGGGAACTAAATGCCACTGGCTAAATGGTAATTGGTGATCGTAACCAATCAGGCAATGATTTTAATTTGTACAGCTCATTCAATATGCTCTGCCCTTCTAGTCAACTTATATCTGGAATGGTTGAATATGTTTCTGTTATTTGGGAAAATTTTGTATCGTTTAATGGACGTTTCTTTTTGTTTATCTTATAATGTCTTATATTGGATCATATCCCTTCCCACTTCAGTTGAATTATATTTAGCGAACCTTGTCCTCTATTTCAGGGCCAAACAAAAGATCTGGATTCCGCAGCTTCATCTTCTCGTCAAGGTGCCGATGTGGGAGCCGTCATTTCTAATCTGAATTCTGTTCTGAAACTTATTAGTGAAAGGGTCATGCTTGTTCAGGAGTGCAAAAGATCTGTAACTCAAATACTAAATTCCTTGCTTTCTGAGAAAGGTACTGATTCTAGTGTGCTTCTTTGCATACTTGAGGTAATAAAAGGGTGGATTGAAGATGACCTCGGAAAGCCAGGCTCATCTGTTGCTTCAAATGCTTTTCTTCCTCCAAAGGAAATAGTTTCCTTTCTTCAAAAGCTTTCACAAGTTGATAAACAAAACTTCTCAATTGCTCTGGAAGAGTGGGACATTAAATATCTTCAGCTTCTTTATGGATTATGTGCTGATTCAAATAAGTAAGTAATGTAGTTGAGTTCATTTTTGCTGTACTTGAATAAAAGGATATACTAAAATATCTGGTTGACTTCCAGATATCCTCTCTCCCTGCGTCAAGAGGTGTTTCAGAAGGTGGAAAGGCAATTCATGCTTGGTTTACGTGCAAGAGATCCTGAATTCCGGAAGAAGTTTTTCTCACTTTATCATGAATCTCTCGGGAAAACATTGTTTGCTAGGCTTCAGTACATCATTCACCTTCAGGATTGGGAAGCCTTGGGTGATGTCTTCTGGCTCAAACAGGGCCTTGATCTTCTTTTAGCAATCTTAGTTGAGGATAAACCTATTACTCTTCCTCCAAATTCTGCAAAGGTGCCACCACTTCTGGCTTCAGGTTCTTCAGACCCTCCTGGAATGCACCAACAGGTCACTGATATTCCAGATGGTTCCGAGGATGGTCCTCTAACATTTGATACCCTTGTTTGTAAGCATGCACATTTTTTGAATGAGATGAGCAAACTCAAGGTACGATGGTTCATTAGTTTTATCTTTGGTGAATCTATTTTGCAACGATGAGACCATCTGGCATGCTGACATGGTGTTAAGAACTCCAGAAGACGTTATAATTTTGATGGATTCGTAATCCCACTTCAGCATGACACTTGGCATTATTGTCACATACATTAATGTTTTATTACATTTGCCCTAAAACAATGCCTGGTTTCTAACTCTCTCTTCCAGATTCTGTTACTATTAATTATGTTTAATAGGTTTAAGTAATTTCGCTTCCTTATCTGTTGTTGGTGTCAAACCATCTTCAGACAAGCTTGTGTAATTGATATTCTACTCAAATGGAAAGTTCTGACCTTTCGTTTTGAATTTTTCCTTCGTTTTAGGTGGCTGATCTTATTATTCCATTGAGAGAGCTTGCTCATGCGGATGCCAATGTCGCTTATCATTTGTGGGTGTTGGTGTTTCCCATTGCCTGGGTGACCTTAGACAAGGAAGAGCAGGTCGCACTAGCTAAACCAATGATTGCTCTGCTTTCAAAAGATTATCATAAGAAGCAGCAAGGCAGCAGACCTAATGTTGTGCAAGCCCTTCTGGAAGGGCTTCAGTTGAGCCACCCTCAGCCTCGGATGCCAAGTGAGCTCATTAAATATATTGGGAAAACTTACAATGCATGGCACATAGCATTGGCTCTGCTGGAAAGTCATGTCATGTTGTTCACAAATGATACAAAATGCTCTGAGTCTCTTGGGGAACTTTATCGTTTGCTCAATGAGGAAGACATGAGGTGTGGATTGTGGAAGAAGAGGTCAATCACTGCAGAAACTAGAGCCGGGCTTTCGCTAGTTCAGCATGGCTACTGGCAGCGTGCTCAAAGCCTCTTTTACCAAGCTATGCTTAAGTCAACTCAAGGCACATATAACAACACAGTACCGAAGGCTGAAATGTGTCTCTGGGAAGAACAATGGCTGTATTGTGCTGGTCAACTTAGTGAATGGGAACCATTGGTAGAATATGGTAAGAGTATTGAGAATTACGAAATACTACTTGATACTCTTTGGAAATTGCCTGATTGGGTATACATGAAGGATCATGTACTTACAAGGGCTCAGGTGGAAGATACTCCGAAACTTCGCCTTATACAATCATTCATTTCGCTTCATGAAAGAAATGCAAATGGTGTGGGGGATGCTGAGAACATAGTGGGCAAAGGTGTTGAACTTGCCTTGGATCAGTGGTGGCAGTTGCCAGAGATGTCTATCCATGCTAGGATTCCTCTCTTACAGCAATTCCAACAGCTAGTTGAAGTTCAAGAGTCGTCAAGAATTCTTGTGGACATTGCCAACGGAAACAAACTTTCTGGGAATCCTGTGGTTGGTGTACATGGAAATCTTTATGCTGATCTCAAGGACATTCTTGAGACTTGGAGACTGAGAACTCCAAATGAATGGGATAACATGTCTGTTTGGTATGATTTGCTACAGTGGAGGAATGAAATGTACAATGCAGTCATAGAAGCATTCAAAGATTTTACATCAACGAACCCACAACTTCATCACCTTGGTTATCGTGACAAAGCTTGGAATGTTAATAAGCTTGCTCACATTGGTCGTAAGCAAGGCCTATACGATGTTTGTGTCTCAATACTTGAAAAGATGTACGGCCATTCAACGATGGAAGTGCAGGTATTACTAACTACAACCATATTATTTAATTTGATTTAGTTGCTTATTTCCATCCACCAGAAGTACAAATGAGCAAAAACATGGTTGTTGGGCCTTTATGAACATCCTCCACTACAAGCCAATGACTCTATTCTGGGGGTAACTAGCTGATATGTTGAAAGCCCTCAGTGTATTATTTTCGTTTCTGGAATATGTTTTGTAACTTGGTCATATGTTAATTACCATCTTGAACCTTATGTTGCTTGAATCCTATCATCTTAGTTAATGTTTTATACTTGTTGAACTGTGATATGTTGTTTTGGTGGTATCTTTTCATAAACCACTTCTGTTTTCCCTAGATACAGGTTTCTAATGTCTTTCCATGTATTTTACCAGGAGGCCTTTGTTAAGATTACAGAACAGGCAAAAGCTTATTTGAAAATGAAGGGGGAGCTTACCAGTGGTCTCAATCTAATCAACAGCACCAACTTAGAGTATTTTCCTGTGAAACATAAAGCAGAAATATTTCGTCTGAAGGGGGATTTCTTGTTAAAGATAAATGATTATGAAGGTGCTAATCTTTCATACTCCAATGCTGTCAGCCTTTTCAAAAATTTGCCTAAAGGATGGATAAGCTGGGGAAATTATTGTGACATGGTATGTCCTGTAATCTGCTTCAAATGCATTTGATGATTTTAGCTTCTTTTTTTCTTTTTTTTTTTTGGTAAAAAAAAATTATTTTATTTTGGTGCGTGACCTATTTGCTATCTGTTTTGCACAGGCTTACAGAGAAGGGAATGATGAAACATGGTTGGAGTATGCTGTCTGTTGCTTTCTTGAAGGAATCAGATTTGGGATATCTAACTCAAGAAATCATCTAGCTCGAATTTTATATCTTCTAAGCTTTGATACTCCCAATGAACATGTTGGGAGGTCTTTTGATAAATATATTGACCAAATTCCCCACTGGGTCTGGCTTTCTTGGATTCCACAACTCTTACTTTCTTTGCAGAGGACAGAAGCTCCCCATTGCAAACTCGTTCTACTAAAAATCGCCACTGTGTTTCCCCAGGTAAAATGTTAAGTTTGTCAAAGAAAGAGACATCCAAATATTACAGTATTTCACTCCAACATAAATATTGATTTTCTCGAGGATTATAATCTCAGGCCCTATATTACTGGCTGCGCACATACTTGCTCGAACGGCGTGATGCAAATAAAACTGAGCTTGGTAGTAGAATGGCAATGGCTCAAAGGATACAGCAAAGTGCCTCTGGTGCAAGTGCTGGTTCAATTGGGTTAGCTGATGGGAATGCTAGAGTACAAGGTCATAGTGGCAGTGGTTTATCGTCGGACAACCAAGTTCTCCAAACTGCCCAATCTGGTGGTGGAATTGGTTCTCATGATGGTGGAAACTCTCATGGGCAAGAATCTGAAAGGTCCACAGTTATCGAGAGTGGCATGCACCAAGGTAATGAGCAGCAAAGTTCCTCAACCATCAATGATGGTGGTCAGAGTGCATTAAGGCGTAATGGTGCTTTGGGCTCGGTACCCTCTGCTGCCAGCGCTTTTGATGCTGCAAAGGATATAATGGAGGCTCTTAGAAGCAAACATACTAATTTGGCTAGTGAACTTGAGGTCTGATATTTCCGTCTCAGAATTTTAAAGTTAAATATTTGATGTACTTTTGTTATTTATATATAGGGAATTGTTATTAGCACTCCAAAAATCTCATTTGGCACTCCAAACTTTCTATAATTAGAAAGAAAAATACACTTGTGAGGAGTGCCAAATGAGATTTTTGGAGTGCTAATAACAAGTCCCTATATATATATAAGAAAACCAATCCTAACTAATATTTTTTAACTTTCCGGTTGCAGACTCTGCTGACTGAAATTGGTTCAAGGTTTGTTACTCTGCCAGAGGAGAGACTTCTAGCTGTGGTTAACGCCTTGCTCCACCGATGTTACAAGTACCCAACTCCCACAACAGCTGAAGTTCCCCAATCGCTTAAGAAGGAACTCTCCGGTGTTTGCAGAGCTTGTTTTTCACAAGATGCTGTGAATAAGCACGTTGATTTTGTGAGAGAGTACAAACAGGATTTCGAGCGTGATCTTGATCCTGGGAGTACCACTACTTTCCCAGCCACACTCTCTGAATTGACTGAGCGGTTAAAGCATTGGAAAAATGTCCTCCAGAGCAATGTTGAGGACAGGTTTCCAGCTGTCTTGAAGCTGGAAGAGGAAAGCAGGGTGTTGCGTGATTTCCATGTCGTTGACGTGGAAGTTCCAGGACAGTACTTTAGCGATCAGGTAACTAAATCAGTGTTTTGCACATTTCTGCTCGTATCATTGTCCTGCCTTTATTGTTTGTTCTATGATTTTATCTGATTGGTCTTCCTGTGCCATTGGATGAATGGAGGTGGTTGTGACGTATCCCAAGTTGATTCTATTATGTTAAATGACTATCAAGCATTTGATAAACCCTTTCAGATCAAGTCGATTAAAAATTCTATTTCCTTTCTTAATGTATCTTCTTATATAAAACAACATTATTCTAATGTTTGCAGGAAATTGCACCTGACCATACAGTAAAGTTAGACAGGGTTGGAGCTGATATACCAATAGTGCGAAGACATGGAAGTAGTTTCCGGCGTTTGACTCTTATTGGCTCTGATGGTTCCCAACGTCATTTTATTGTCCAGACATCTTTAACCCCTAATGCTCGAAGTGATGAACGAATATTGCAGCTTTTCCGTGTGATGAACCAAATGTTTGATAAGCACAAGGAATCAAGGCGACGCCACATATCCATTCACACGCCAATCATCATTCCTGTTTGGTCCCAGGTTTGTCACATTTGAGGGATTAGATTCGATATGTATCTATGGATAAACCTATTTTACTATGCCCTGGTTGGTTTGTAGTTAGTTTGTCTTTGGAATGTGGTTGCCATTGCAACCATGGAAAGAAAAAGGAAGTTGCTTATTAAAATCGACTATTGCTGTATGTGCAGGTCCGAATGGTAGAAGATGATTTGATGTACAGCACCTTTCTTGAGGTGTATGAGAATCACTGTTCAAGGAATGACAAGGAGGCGGATCTTCCCATCACCTATTTCAAGGAGCAATTGAACCCGGTTGTATCCGGCCAAGTCATTAACGAAGCTGTCGGAGACCTTCGCCTCCAAGCTTATAATGACATAACAAAAAATCTTGTATCGGACGGCATTTTTTCCCAGTACATGTACAAGACTCTGTTAAATGGGAACCATATGTGGACTTTCAAGAAGCAGTTTGCCATCCAGTTGGCCCTCTCGAGCCTTATGTCTCTCATGCTACAAATTGGAGGGAGGTCCCCAAATAAAATTTTATTTGCTAAGAACACAGGCAAAATATTTCAAACCGATTTTCATCCTGCATATGATGTAAATGGAATGGTCGAATTGAACGAGCCAGTGCCTTTTCGTCTTACAAGGAACATGCAAGCTTTCTTCTCTCATTTTGGAGTGGAAGGCCTCATTGTGTCTGCAATGTGTGCTTCTGCACAGGCTGTTGTGTCACCCAAAGTGAGTTTTTCTTGGCAGTCGCTTTCTATATGAGCATAAATTATACGTAAGAAAAGAGATTGTGTCCTAAATCCCAATCTTTCTATTTCGCAGCAAAGTCAACATCTGTGGCATCAGTTGGCTATGTTTTTCCGTGATGAGCTGCTGTCTTGGTCTTGGAGAAGACCCCTCGGTATGCCTATGGCCCCGTTTGCTGGAGGGGGTAGTATGAACCCCGTTGACTTCAAGCAGAAGGTCATCAGCAATGTCCAGCATGTTATTGACCGGATCAATGGAATCGCCCCCCAGTACTTTTCCGAAGAGGTAAGCCAGTGCCTCCAATCTTATAACAACACAGAGGCTCGTACTAGCAACGATGTTGAGTGCCTGTGTCATAAAATGAGCCAAAATGCATGCTGTTTATGCCGATTTTTCTTCTCTATAAGTTTTAGGGTTTATCGGTTTCCAGAATTGATTCAGAATGCAGAATCAATTGCTAATTTATACGCCCCTAATAGCGTGTTGTGTGTGTTGTGCTGCGTTCAGGAGGATAACGCCATGGAACCACCGCAGTCGGTGCAGCGCGGAGTGACTGAGTTGGTTGACGCTGCCTTGACTCCGAGGAACTTGTGCATGATGGATCCAACGTGGCACCCCTGGTTTTAAAGTTGCAGCACAGATTTTGTAGAGTCGACAAGAGATCAGAAACCTGTCCAGACGACGTCCTATTTATGTACATATCCTGCTCTTGTTAGTGATTATGAGAAGTCTTTCTCAATCGACATGTTTTGAATGTAGATTACATGTCGTGTGTAAATTTTATTAAAGTAATTGAGTGAGATCCGGGGCCCAGGTTTTAGGTCCGTCGTTACAAATTTATAGGGATGGGTTTATCGTTGGAAGAACTGCATTGTTGATGTTGACCCTAAACAAAACAAGTAGGTAAGTCTGTCGCTCTACGGTCATTTGGGTCTCCTAAAACCATCTCCAACTCTTGGGTAAAAATTTAAAATTTTGAACTTAGAAAATTTAGGTTGTAACTTAGAAACATGTTTTCTGCTCCAATTCTTTTGAGTTAAATTTTTCATCCTAAATTATTAAAGAATGAATCTAAGATTCTTAATTAAAAAAAAAAAAAAAACAATCTAGACTATTCCAATTTAATCTTATGAACATTTTAATCTAAAAATATTTAATTTTTAATAAATATTAAAAAATCATTAAATCGACATCATGAAACTCGTAAAACACTATGAAAAAAAATATGAAACACATGAAAGATTTTTTTAAAATTATTTTAGACATTGGATTTAAATTTGAATCATTGAATATTTTTCTTTATTGTTAAATTATTTTAGGCATTGGATTTACCCATTGGATTCAAGGAATTTCAAGGTTGAATTTTATAAAGCTTAAAAAAAATAGCCAATCCAGGGAATTTCAAGGTTAAATTTGTTCCAAAAATAAAACACATGAAAGATTTTTTTTTAAATTATTTTAGCCGTTGGATTTAAATTTAGACTATTAGATTCTTTTTAAATCTTAACTGTCAATTCAAAGAATTTATAAATATGAAACTAAAAAAATACTCAACCTGGGGTTTATGAGTTAAATTTGCCCCAAATACGTATTCGGAAAAGGGTTGGAGCAAGTTTGGGTTGGTGTAAATTCATCCGAGTTGTTCCAAAGATCAAAATGGCCAAATTATTAATGGAAATTTCTTGTTGGGTTTCTGTAAAATACGCGTTTGGGACGGGGGGCTTCAAAATACATCATAAGCTTAATCCGTGTTGGGGCGGGGGGGGCTTCAAAATACATCATACTGGTAATAATGTCCAAAAAAAAGAAAAGCAAAAATTAAAGTGAGGAATGACACATCATTTTTTGTCTCATAAAATCCAAAACAGAAAAATAAGCAAAAATTACCGAAAATTTAGCAAAAGAAACCAAAGCACTTTCCCTAAACATGGTTATCAAGACAGACAACCAAACAACTTTAGCACTTCGAAACCAGACAGAATATTTCAATCTTCCTCCTCAAGAAACCGCAGGTGCTTCCCCTTTGGTGTTGGCAGACCCTTCAGCCGCAGGGCACCCGGCGAAGCTGATTCCGGAGTCTTTGCAGTTCCTTCTTCTTCTTCTTCTTCAACAATTTCATCTTCACTGTCATACACAAATCTGGTATGCTTTCCAGCAAACTTGGGAACCCTTCTCGTCTCATCGACACAAATATTGCTTATTCCATCACAGAGCTCATCCACATTGTATCCTCCATCTTGTTCCTTTTCTTCTTCTTCCATTCCATAACCTTCATTAAGCTTCAGATAATAGTCTTCTTCTTCATCGCTGTCTGCTAATTCTTCCTCGTCTTCATCTTGGGTGCTAGCATTGACCTGCATCGACCAGATGGAAGCATTGTCATCATCTGGGGACGATGACTTCTCTTTGCTGTCAGTAATCACAGAGGAGAACTCGGATGAGACTGAGGAGATTTCGGACTTCTCGGAGAAATCCAGCAGCAGAGACCGGCTCAGGATACTCTTCTGAGATTCGAGGCTCCCCTGATTTTTTCCTTCAAAGATGTCACATACCACCTACCACATTTTCATGGATTAAAGCAAAAAGAATCAGTAGCTAAAGTAAGAAAACCCAACAGAAATTATCGTCACAAAATGAATACATGAGAAGATCCCAACCTGAGAAATCAATTGTTCTTGGACGAGGGGAGAAGGTTTCTCAGAACTCAGACCAACATTGCTGCTTCCACTTGCACCAACAGAGATATCAGATACCTGTGGAGTGTTTGCCGGTGTTGGCGCGAGGAGCCCCATTGGAGAATTGGCGATAAGGCCTTGAATTAGGTGAATAGGGCGGCTTTCGAGCGAGATCTTTGAGAGCTCAGCCTCCTCTTCAACTTGCTGCAAGAGGGTCTTGACTTGACCTCTCAGCAAGGCCTCTCCGGACCCGGGTGTGTTCTTGGCTCTGCAGCTTCTCTGCTTGAGTATGCCCGATGACGGTGTCTTTAAGCTTCCCGTTGCAAGCCCCACAATCGGAGAATCGTTGGTGATATCAATCAGTGCAGAACGGTCTTGCTGTTGCTTCCCATTTCTTGGTCTCGATTTCAACAGAGCTTTCTCAGAATCTTCAGTCTTTCCTGAAGAAAGATTAACAAAACAAGAAAACAAAACAATCTATTAATACAAAGCAACCAGATTAATGACAAACCATTAAAACCCCATGTATTAAAATCCCGATTTTTTATTGAAAATTCATGATTAAAAATTTTATGGTAATCCCATCAAAACCCATGTATTGAAAGAAAACGAATTCCAATTAAACCACGAATCTGTACAGAACCCATATTTTATTTTCCACGATTGTTCGACTGTTTGGAAGAAAAGAAAAGAAAGTGAGAGCACTCACTTGAAAGGGGAATGTTGCTGCTGTTCTGAGCAGCCGAAGTCTGAGACCTCGTGACTCTTCTGATTGACGACGGAGTCTCCATTGGATCCGATTCGAGAAATTCGTCGAGAAACGGGAAGGGTCGTCGGAAAAGCGATCAACGGAGCGGAAATTGGAGATCGGAAAAAGGAAGCAGTGGGCTCTGAAATTCAAAGTCGATGGCTTTAGGGTAAAGGTTGGAACTTGGAAGGATTATAAAGAGGGCGTTTGGTGAACGGGGAGGTTCTGAAACGGGAATGTGACCGTTGGCGCGTGCGGTTCGTCCAAATTTGACACGTTTGCTAAACTAGCCGTTAGGGTTTCGTTTGAATTGAGACGGCTTTAAGAGCACTAATGGGCCTCGAGTGGATTAGGTTAAGGATCGTTTGGGCTACAATTGAGAAAAGAAAGTTTATTAATTTTTTTCTTAGTATATTTCAACAATATCAAATTTTTGATTGAATGAGTATACGAGACATGAAATCAACCCCTGATTTCTTTCTAAAATAAAAAAATAACAGATGGAGATTTTGCGTGTCTAGATCCACCTCGACCCCAACTATCATTGTAGTCCCAAGAAAATCATCTCGTCTCACACTGTGTAATCGAGTAACAGACCGCAATTGAGAGAGTGATATATTATCCTTTCATTTTATTTAAATTTACAGAAAAATTCAAAGCCCGGGGGGGGGGGGGGGGAAGGAAAATGGGGAGAGGAAAAAACCTTGGGGACAAGGTCAGAGAGTCGAGAGAAGAGTAATTTTTCTTTTAATTTTTAATGTTATTTTATTTTTAAATTAAATATATAATTTTATAAAGAAGTTTATAATAATTTATGAATTTCTATGTGGATGAAATATTTGTAATTGGCTAATGGAGATAAACACGAGGATAAAATTGGTCAAATTAAAAACACAAAGAACTAAATTGGTCGGGCAATAACACAAGGACCATTTTGAGATTTAAGCCTACATTACGAGAACCTCTTTATCAATCAAAAAGGGTGAAATCAAAATGAACCTTTTACTCTTCACCGAGTCTCACTAGACTCCCTATACTCTAATGTGTCTCACCTTACCACTTATACTCTTCTTCTGTCTCCAAGTTTACTCTATTCCGTTAATTTTCACAACAAAACTAGTAGCTGACTTTGCAGGTTATTTTGGTAAATATATCCATTGAAATTAAATACAATTAAATATTAAAAGGAACAAAAAGAAAACTTTCAACCCACACGTTTCACCTCCTCCGATCCCTAAATCCTATTGTGCAAGTATGAAAAGTCAATTAAATTCACGTCATTCACTAAAAAAAAAAAAAAAAAAAAAAAAAATTAAATTCACGTCGTTGGGTGTCAAAATTAAGTATATAGTGATCAGAATCCAAGTAATATCCTATCTTATAAGGTTAATGGTAAATAATGTAGAGAAGTGTGAATGGATTCTCTTAAAAGTGAAACTGTTTATGAATGTTGACATAGAAATTAGTGGTAAAATATGAGGTAACAAAAAATTCATGGAGAATCTTACTTTTGAGAGAGTCCCTTAGCGTAGTCCAACTATGTATATGCATGCATGATTTCAGCTATATATATGAATCATGATATTTTTAATGTATTTGTACCCAAAAAATTTCTCAACGCACCATCCCAGGCCCAAAGTAGGGTATGGTACTGGTACTAGCCTTGAAGATGGTGTGAAGTCTAGTTTTATTGTTTGGCTTCTCTTGTCAAATATTGTAAATTGTACCACACATGCTCTAGTTAGATTTAGGGTTTAATTACTTCTCTGGGATCATTTTGCTAGAAATATCACTTCAAGAGCTTAATTTCTCTCAGCAAAAGTTTGTTCATATATATGCATTTCATGCCATTATTTCCAGTTCATTCTGTCTAGTGGTTCTATCTCGTTAAAACTTCTCGCTGCTTTCACGCGAGCTGAGTACACACTTTAAGACAACCCACATGGGCTTTCTGATAGCTTTTTCCCCGAAAGTGTTTTTTAACCCTAGATCTTTTCAGATTGATTTTACACATGACACGTGGCTTTTCTGGTCCCCTTTCTGTTTGAACAACCAGCCCTTTTTAAAAGCTAATTTATGGTTCATTTGTCTTTGGGGTTGAGATTGAAAAAGTTTTTTAGAGCTTTATTTCCATCTCTATCTTAGACCTCCTAGGAGCATCAAACATATTTTATGGGTAATGTTCTTCTTTGAATCTTTATAAGTATGTCTTTGAATTTGCTTGCTTAAATCTCTTTATATGCTCATTTGTTTTGGCTAAGATATTTACATTTAAAAAAAAAAAAAAAAGTTGTTTTAGCTTTGAGCTACCTCTTATATTCTTACTTGAAAACCCTAGCTACAAAATCACACTCATGCACTAAATACCCACATCAATGCATATTAAGATAGCATTTTTTTTTTTTTTTTGTAATTTTGATCTTTGTTTTTAGGTCAAAATTTTCAAGTTTCAAATCTTCAAACTGACCTCTTTTGGGATTCGCGTCTGTTTCATCTTTCAAGTGTTTGACTGGTGAAATTGACTAGACATCGAATCCAGATCTGCATATCATTGCCATATCATCATATGCATAGTTTGTGTGTGGGTCTCGGTGCAACAAGGTGAAGAGTTCAGGAGGAGCTGCCATCTTGTTGAGACAACACCTTTTCAATGCCACAAAGTGAAGAGCTCAAGATGAGCTGCCACTTCATGAAGACCAAAGGAATTCATCTTGTGTAAGGCAAAGTTGCACAAAGGTAAAGCTGCTCTGTAGATTAGGTCTAGCAATTGAGCTTTACGTGGTACTTTGTAAGAATCTTGATTATACTAGTGGATTGGACTTAGTGGAGAGTCCTCGTGTTTTTAATCTAGAGGTGGGTTTTTCTGGCCAAAAACTTCTTGTGTTCTTTGTTTCTTAAGCTTGTCCACATATCTTATTTACTTGCAAATGTTTCATGCATTCTATGAAATGTTATTTGATATGTGTTAGAGACTAAGTTTACACTACATATTATGAGCAATGAACTGATTTGTTGTTGACTAAGATAACTTGTAGTGAACTAAGTTGGATTCGTAGATTTGTGTTTGACTAACTGACAAATCTGTACTTAGTTAACTGATGAGCTTCACTAGTCAATCTAGCATACTTTAATTCATAATTGCTTTGTTATTACTGTTTGCATAATGAACCGATATGTAAATGTGTTCAAACTTAGGAATTATTGTTGTAAAACTAATTTGGGCAGACTCTGATTAGTTGAAAGCATTGGTCAATTAGGTTTTGTTATTACAACTGCACTTTATATCATTGATTAACTTGTAACTAATTGACTAGCTTATTTGACTAGTCTACTATGCAAATTTAGTTTTTATTTGCAGAATATTCCACCTTATTCCCAATTTCAGGACGGGTTTGGGCTTTGAGGCTGGACGTTGGAGGTGGATTAGGAATGGGTCCGGAGAGGCTTACAGTTTTATATTATCTCTATTTGGAATGAAAAGGGGATAAATATTGGCAAAAAAAAAAAAAAAAAAAAAAAAAAAAAAAAGGGTTTAAAGGCAATGGGAAAAGAAACGAGTAGAAATTTTTATGTGGACCAAGTGAACGAAATTGTTGATGTGTTAACTTTTAGATTTATTAATAAAAAAAAAAACATGTTTTATATAAAACTATAACACAACTAGGCCTAGCAAACGGATCGTGTTTGTCATGTTCGTATCATATATGTTATCTTAACGGGTCGTATCGTGTTAAACTCGTTATCTAAACAAATCCTAAGGTGACCCAATATCAACTCGATTCTTTAAGGGGTCATGTCGTTTTATATCGAGTTAAAGAGTCATGCAATAAATTGTTATGTCTAATGTCTAGATCTAAAAAACAATCTTATCGGATTCTTAACGAGTCACGATAAAAATCTAACTCGTTAACGAGTTTTTAACAGGTGACCCGATAACGAATAAAACCTATTAATGATCCAAATTGTTAATAAATTAACCCGAAGCATATTATTTTCATGTCATTTAATATTGTATTAACAGGTGGTGCAAAAATTATTGTGTCACCACATGATAGTGTAGTACACTAACAGATCTCTCTGAAATAGGAGAATATTTGGTGGCCAGTTGTGTTGTATGGGACTCCTTAATTGCTGAGTAGCATACAGCTCAGCTCTTCTTTTTTATTTAGTTGGGGAAATAAACCCAGCTCATCTTCATTCGACCAATGGAGTGGGAACAGAGTGTACAACCTACCGTAGTGGTAGAAACTAATTATGTTTATATATTTTGGTAAGGGTTTAATTTCAATTAATTCCTCTCTTATCTAATAATTAATAATTTAATCCATTAATGTTATTGTTTGTTTAAAAAAAAAAAAACATTGAAACTTGGGGGGATTAAATTAATTTTAGACAAGCTCACTCTCACTAAGCTTGATTAGTATTAGAATAATACTTGCATCCCTCTATCTATCTCAGATAAGTATATTCCTCCAATTGCAAATAACGTATCTTCACCATAATTTTTTTATAATTGGACCGTTCAATTTCTTAATCTTTATTTGAATATCATCCCTACAAAAAAAATCATTAGAATCCAAGATTGTTTAGTCATTCAAATGAATCAAACAGTATAGGTACCAAATAACATACTAATGATAACCTTTCATTTATTTGATATATTTGGATGACTAAACGATTTATGTTTTGAATAATTTTCTGTAAGAATGTTCAAACGAAGATTAAGAAATTGAACAGTTTCGATTAGAAAATCCTATAATGAAGATAGGTTATTTGTAAAGGTAATGCAAAATAATCAAAAAACAGAAAGAGAGAAAGACTCCAACATGTACTGCATACGTACGTTTTATACACTTGCTTCTGCAAGCTTATATCTACAGTGGTACATTGTTATCTCACAAATCAAGAATTTAATATTACGACCACATGAAGGGGAGTTATATATTAATAATGAACCGTTCATTTATTTGATATATGTGTATTGGTATATTACATATTGTTTATATTTTTGTTTATTACAAACAATACCGTTATTTTAAATTAAATTAACGATAAGAGAAAAAGTTTGAACTCGAAATACATTAAGATAAAAAGGAATACTATATTCACTAGTGCAACAAACTACTTGCATCATTTTATTTTGTTTTTTTAATCAAGAAAAATATACTAAGGGGAAAATCCTCGAGTACAACCGTTCCCTACAGAATCAAACTGAAGAGCATGCAGAGCAAATGAAGGAATACAATGATCCCAAATATGACAATCGGTAATAAGAAGGCCGTGGCGAGCGAAGGCATCCGCCATAAAGTTAGCCTCTCTAAAAATATGTTTCTAGTCAATGCAATCAAAATTGGTCGTCATCCACTTGATATCTTCAATAATAGGAACCAGATTCCATGGCGTCGCATCCCGATCCAATATTGACTGAATGACCAACTTAGAGTCTCCTTCAACCATAATCTTTGTATAGCCCTTCCTTTGAGCAAAAAGAAGGCCCTCTCTAAGAGCCCTAGCCTCCACTTTTGAAATAGTGGCACCATCCAGATTTAAAGCTCCACCTCCAATGAACTGCCCATTATGTTTCTGTAAGACAAATCTTGCCGCCGTCTTGTCCCTGGCCACCGAACCGTCAAAGTTTATCTTAATAAAACTCTTATCTGGTGGATGTCATTTAACAATTGTAGAAGTATCATCAGTATTTCTTCTCCAACCTTTACCATTGGCTTTAAGATATCGCCCACCCATAGAGATAGCCAATAATTTATAGATCTTGCCGGGAAGGGCACAACATTTCTAAACACCATATTATTACGGTGATTAGGGAACTTATAAAAATACTGATACCTTACTTAAAATGTAAAGAAAAGATACATCATCTAACGAATTAAGATACTTATCAAATCGAACAAAAGGACTTAAAAATAGTTTTTATTAATTACAATACAATACAATCTTAATAGAAACTCATACAAAAGCAGAAAGCTTTTACGTTTTACATGCATGCCAAAACATTCTCTCTCTCAGTAAAAGAGATGAGAAAAGTTTGTGCACTTTATTTATTTTGGTTGGATTTGTTGAAATGAATTGAAAATTTGAAAGAAATTAAGGGCACTTGCGGGTTTGGTTGTGGGTTTTAAGGTTAAAGTAGCAAGGACAAGATTCGTAGTTGCCAGAAGTGCCTGGAGGAACGCAACTGCACTTGTCACAACAACTCCCACATGCCCTTTTGCAAAGACGAGGCCTCGATGATAGTTTGCATCTTCCTTCACATGCCACTCCACAATCTGCATCATAAACGTATATTATGCACAATTATTTAACTAGATATATGACATCGTAACTAACAACTTTCATCAATATATACGATATGAACTCAGGTTTTCTTAAAGACTGGATGTTACTTGACCAAATGATCTTGATTACAAATTTACAAAAATGGTGAATTAGTTAGAGAATTGAAGATGTAAGCGCGTGACATACCTAAAGTTGGGGGCTTGGGGGCCGGTGCTCCATCAACGCCCAACTGAAAATAGTTAATACAAACTTTTCAGTTCATATTTTACTTAAATCATTGAAGAATAATTGAATACACTACTTGAAAGTTGAAAGAAATGTATGAAATATATGTATAGGTCTATTACCATCTCATACTGGTGATCAGCTGCTTCAGTGAAACATTGGAGAAGCATAAAAGAGACAAGCATGGAAGCCATGAGCGTTCTTGATGACAAAGCCATCTTGATTATATATGGAAGAAGAGGAAGAAGTATCTTAATTTGGCTTGTATGTTGTGAAATAAGAGTGAGATATTAGTGCGTGTATTTATAGAGAGAGACTGGTGGTATCGATGGTGCATGGGGGGGCAGTAGGGTTGATGCAATGCTAGTGCCTGCTTGCCTGTCCAATAATTTTGGACCTACTATTTAATTATAATAGTCGTCATTTTCAGATGATCTCCGCGAAAGTCACGCTGCCAGACTGCTCACAACTCATCACCCTTCACCAATGTTTTCTTCTTTTGTTTGGAAAGGGACCCTCTCCGGACCATTTCATCTAAGTCTCATCATTAAACAATTCGGGTTCTTAAAATTTGATCTAACGGTTAAAAATAAGGGTCAATTTTAAAAGTTATAATAACTTTAGCATTTGGATCAAATTTCAAGGACCCGAATTATTTGATGAGAAGAATTAGGTGAAAGAGATCTGAAGAATCCTTTTCCCTTTTGTTTTGCTTGGTTTCTGTTTAACATTAAATATCTTTGCTTAACATTTGAACCAATAATTAATGGCTAAATAGATTAGAATGGATGGAGGTGCCGCCCTTTGGAGAATTTATGGCTCGTTTTGAAATATTTTTAATGTAACTGAAAGCACTTTTGGTGAAAATATTTTTGAAACAAATCCTTATTAAAAATCCAAGTGAATCATGGAGAAACACAAGTTCTTCCTGCAAGAAGCAAATATCTGGTGCTTCTTAAAAAAATCACTTAAAAGTGTTTTTGAAATCCAAAATATTTTACCAAAAATATTTTCAATAATTTAAAAACATTTTCAAACAAACTCCTTTTTATTTTGAGGTAAGACTTTCCTTGTGATTTTTTGTTGTTCTTTCGTTGTCGAGGTTTCTTAAGAACGAAAATTTAAGTCTTATTTAAGTTTTAAGCGGGTGCATTTGGCTACTGCCATTCATACAACATTAATTTGAATTGTAGATTTGCATGGACTGCCACGATAGTAACATGATATATGGACCATGTGGTATATTTTAATCTTAACTTATTAGTTATTACTTCACCGTCTCTTACGACTTAAACTGATCTACACAAAGGCTTAACAAGAAACTAGTTTATTGAAATTGTTTAACTAATGGGGAAGATTAGGAAGTGTGATTAAGTTGATCTATACACTCAACTTCTTGTTAAGAGTGAGATATATTTTTTCTTGTATGGAAAATAAAATATTAATTAAAGAGAGAAACATTTAAGACAACCGTTTCCAGTACAATCAAATAGAAAAGCATTTTTAGCAATCGTGTGTAGGGTCTTACCCCAAATATAAGTATCCGGACGAGTGTCCAACACTTAATAATATCAGCAAGAAAATTCATCTCACGAAAAACATGCAACCAAAAAATGAAAGAAAAAGAACTGACAAGAGAACTGATATCGTCAATGATTATCCTGGGCTGCCAATGTGTACTACACTAGTTCAAATTGGCATCAATGCTTGCAAATATAAAGCATTGAAGGAAAAAATGTCGACAGACGAGTGTTGGCCAGGTGGCCCTAGCTTGCTAGCTGTTCTACAATCAAACTTTGTTTCCCAAACCCACCGCCGTCGGTGCCCAAAGAAAATGAAAGAAAAACCCTACACTGTACTACTAGCTCTTAAGGCAGTCATGCCTTCCAGTTTGGTATTCTACTGTGGAGAATGTCTTTCATACATGATACGAGTATATATTGTTAATTTGTTATCACGCCTTTTTTATATTAATTAATCTTATGTATAAAGTTAACACAAGAGGTGAACAGTATTTTTAATGTCACCAAGTATCAACAAAAATATTTGAACAAAAATACTCTCAAGACAAAAAACTTCAAAGGCATCCCAAAATAATGCATCAAATAAGACAAGGGCATTTTTGTCATTTTAATAGTGCTTTTTTGAATAATTAATTTTTTGTTACAGTTTTTTTTTTCTTCCTTTTTTTTAGTACCTCACAATAGGTTAGCAATAATGTAATTCAATTTCTATTTTTAATTCAAAACATTTTAAGAGGCGGGTAATGCTGGTTATAAAAAAAGTCTTTCGTACGCGGATAATAATGTGATTAAATAAGTTGTCAAGTGATTTTTTTATTTTTTTTATACAAACGATATTATCTACACTAAGGAAGAGGGGGGGTGGGCTTAGCCTCACAATGGGCTAGTAATAATGTGATTCAATCAGTTGTTTATTAAATATTATTTTCTCTATTCTTAATGTAAATTCTATAGAGACCGATTTTATTATGTGAATTCAGCTGCTTTAATTGGTTTATGAGGGGTTTCTTCTAGTATGATCTAAAATTATTCATTTACTTCAAACATTTGACTTTCATTTTGTCAATTTACGCATATAAATACATTTAAAATGTGTAAGTTGAGTGCAGCACGCCGTGATTTAAAAAATATCACACGTGTGCATAAAGACTAATAGTATAATAATATGTGTAAACTTTTATTTATATAATATTTTATTATTAACACCAAACACTACAATGAGGTATACCATTACCGTAAGTTGGTCTCTCTTCATTTACTTTACACCTGATTTTTTATGTCTGATTGGTTCCCCTTCTCAATATCATTTTTCTAAAAGAATAAGGAAAAAAGGACGTTGCAGCAACAATTTTTATTAGAAAACAAAAACATCTAAAATTCATCAGTCTCGTTCTCCTAGAACACATAGTTTAAGAAAATTATGATCACTTATTGTTTTATCTTGACCTAACAATGAAGGAGAGAGTATAACAACATTGCGGGTTTAATATCCTAATAGATAGGGTGTTGAGTTTCTATGCATTCATCCCTCGCCAAAACCCCCCATCCCCTAAATTATTTTAATAGTTCCGAACCATCCTCATTCCCTTAATAATAGTAAATTAGAAAAACAGAAAGAAAGAAAAAAAAAAAAATCATAGACCACTTACTGTTCGATTAAAATCACATGACAGGTGACTACAATGTTTTCGCATCATATAATTAGACCACTTACTGTTGGATTAAAAAAATTAAAGACCACTTACTGTTCGATTAAAATCATATAACATCGGACTTTGCTATGTGTGTATACATATGGTCAGGCAACCATACTCAGTAGGCCTCTTGCGGTGCTCAGGTGGCTAATTTGCCATAACTGATGCCTGATGGAGACAAGGAAAGGGTTGGAATTCCACAACCTACAATTCTCATTGCATGTAAAAAAAATTTCATTTGTAACACGATCAAAAAAAAAAAAAAAAAATCCCCTTCTTAACTTTTGTAATTTTAATTAACTTTGAGTTGGTAACTATAATACTCACATCTTCAAACAAAAGAAATAGAAGCAGGTACACATTGGTAGCACCTTCTGCAGATCGATGAACCCTACCTTCTATTGGATTTTATTGAGTTGGTCTTGAATTTCATTTTATTTTAGGTTCCGTTGAGTTAGTTCGGAATCCAAGATTCTTGTTCATGGAATTACCCAAGTTTATGCTTGTGGTTGTAACTTAGGGTTACAATGCTAGATATTTGAATTTCAGTAGCGAAATACAGTAAACCTTATAGAGTTGGCTTTATTAAAAATTAGTGAAATGATACTTGATCATGTTGGTTGATCAATTTAATTAAATGTTAATGTTTAGATTCATGGAATTGATTATTTGTTGTGATTGTGGAATTGTGTTGGAAAACATGTGATAGAATTGAATGACGAAATTAATGACAACCTTGGCTGGCATATAGTTTCATTATGTAGTCTGGAATCTAGTGATTCATGCTACTCAAGTTTCATTGAGTGATTCTTGAACTCTATATTTTTCTACTAGCACTAGTACAAAAAATAGGTTGCGCGACGCAGGTACTTTCGTCGCGCAAAGTCAAAAAACGTTACCTGAAAATTAGCCCAACGAAACCTTCATCGCATGTCAACCGTCACGCCAAGGCAACGAAAGCATGATTTGCACCACATGTTGCTTTTTCATCGCGCAAACCCTTTTTGTTTTTTGGGCAAAAATATTTTTTATTTTATTTTAAATAAATATTGTAATTAAATTCTAAACAATAATTCATAAACCAAAAAAAAGTATTTAATTATAAAATATATGAAAATGTACATACAAGATGTCTAAACAAAAAAGAAAAAAACTATAGTCTTCTAGGTTTGATACATCAGGCTACTGGGTATCGACAAGGTGAAAGTGGAGCAAGATCAGGTGCTGGCATCGAGATTTGAAGGCCAGACATATGTAAGGCTTGTAAGATCATGCCCATCTTCTTGTCCTAGGGCAAAAACTGGTTTGCAATCTGGGCATCCTAGGATGCTTCATGGGCCGCAATCTTATCTTTTAGGGTTTCCACTTCCTCCGTCAGGACGATGACCTATCTTGTGGTCGGTCTGGAAAAGGAGGCACCCGTCTCACGAACCCGCACCTTCCCCATACCCCAAACAACCTTGCCATGACAACGACCAAGCTCCTGATCTAGGATCTCAGCAGAACATTAATCACCTACAATTTATAACTGAACATTTGGTGGAATTGACAAGTAAACAAAGGAGCCAACTTGCACCCAAATGGCAAGATGATAATCTTAAACACCTTAATTCTGAACGAGGTGCTTCATGTCTAGCATCTTGAATTTATTCACATTCAAATTTGGGTAAATTACACTTTCATATCTCAGGTTTGGGGTCTATTTCAATTCCTTACAACATCTTTAAAATATTTCAATTTCATACCTTAAGTACTATTTTATTTCAAAATAATACCTACGTTACATTTTCCATCTATTGATTCGTTAAGTGCTGACGTGGCTGACACATATATGCCACGTGGCAAATAAAATATATTTTTTTAAACCTGAATTTTGTCAAAAAAAAAACAAAAAAAAATTTGAAATAGACCCCATCCCATCTCCCCGCAACCTCCCCCACAAACCCATAACCCTTTCTCCCCATCCACACCCACCCAGCTCGTCTTCCCCCTTCCTCCTGGCGACCCTCCTTCTGCCCGCACCCCCCACGGCGCGACCCACCTTGATGTCTCCCCCCCCCCCCCCCCCCCCCCCCCCGGCTACCTCACCCTGCTTCCTACCCCCCTCGGCGACCTAACTCCTTGCGTATGACCTCGCCCAGAACCCAGATCCCGACCTGGCTGACCCACCTCGCCTAGAGCCCAACCCCCACCCTCCTCTCATTTGCAACACCTACCCTCTTCTCCTTCCCCCATCCGTGCCCTGCCCTTTATTTTCCAGCAGCTATCTTCCTCAAACCAACACCCCCGTCTTCTCCCTGAACCGACACCCCTTCTTTTTCCTCATTACTTGTATTGAAAAGACTTTTAGCCTTGATTTTGTTGCTCCAACAAACCCCCATCAAAACAAAAATTTTCTAAAATCTCTATCTCACCAAGGTCTTCAAATCCATCAAACAACCTTAAAAATTCAAAACAAAAGAAACCCATAAGCAAAGATCTTTTTGTCCCTGCAGACCGAGATTTTTGGGTTCAATCTGCCAGCGAGATTTTTTACACTTCCCCTAGATAAAAACCATAAATACTAAGAACCCAACTGCAATTCATACACGAAAACAGACGATTGATGCTTCAGGTTAGTTTCCTTTTACTTTTTTGTTTTTGTTTTTTTGGATGAGAATCTAACAAAAGGCGAGGAAGAAAATAATGGGGAACTGGGTTGAAGATCCGAGAACAAATGCGGCAGCTGCAAGGCGGTGGGCTGTTTCAATTTAGAAGATTTCTCGTGCCCTTTTTCGTTGGAAATCATGGCTCGAACAAAACCCAGACTTCAAAATAAACAAAAAGACAGAATTAACCGCAAATGAGGAAGATGAATCTTTTGATTTCGAAGGAAGGAGAAAGTGAGAAAGATGAATCTTTTGATTTTGAAGAAGGGAGAAAGAGATGTGTAAACTAAAGATAACAGGAAGTAAACCTAAGATAATGGTTTTACCGGCAGAGAGGTAATTGCAACGGTCGTTCGTCTTCCCCTCGAGGTTGTGCACCGTCGATTTGACGTCCCTGGAGACTTTGAGAGCTGGAGGCAGTTGGCGAAGAGGAGGGTGCACTAATCGGCATCAATCTCGAAGAAGATGGTGGAAAATCAATCGCGCCGTTGAGGGATTTGAAGGTGTAGACGAGCTTGACGAGGATGGAATCGAGGGCGCAGCAGATTTGCCCTCCTTGAGTTGCTGGAAGAAGATGTAGATCTGGGAGTTCTGGGTTCAGAGGTTGTGGCTGAGCCCCCATCACTTTTACGAGGCATTCCCATGTTTACCCAGGGTTCTAGGGTGTTTTGTTTTGTTTTTTTTTTTTTTTTGTTTTTTTTGTTTTAAGATTCAGGTGGTTTTTTTTAATTAAAAAATTATTATTTTTGCCACGTGGTGTGCCACGTTGGCAACCACGTCAGCACTTAACGGATCAATAGATGAAAAATGTAACGGATGTATTATTTTGAAATAAAATAGTACTTAAGGTATGAAATTAAAATGTTTTGAAGATGTAAGAAATTGAAATAGACCTCAGGTATGAAAGTGTAATTTACAATATCTTAGAGTCAGAACGGAAAGGGTACTACGTGAAGAATGGCAGCACGGACCGCTCGGGAGCATGCAGCATTTGTGCGCATGTAATGTACAATATCTTAGAGTCAGAACCAAAAACATAGTATTCTAATCAAATGCATCAAAAAGTGACACGATGAGTGCTCTCATTAACTTCAGAAGCTCAAGTCTAAATGCAATCAACACAAACCTGACAGAAAGCTTAAACATGTAACAAACTAAACTTGATGAAAGTCCAGGCCAGTCACCATGGATCCTTTAAAACATATAGATACAATACAAGTAAAACTAACTGTCTTCCAACTTGCAAGGATATGTTGTTTACCGTACTCTACCAAAAACACAGGAAACGGTGCACGAATCAAGAGCCTATAAAACAAAGCAAGGGATTGGTTGAATAGTTACTTGTTTGAAGCTGGAAGTGCCATATCCACTGTATGAAGATGACAAGAGTGGTTGAACAAGTGACCATTTCTCTTTGTCCAAAGCAATTGCAAGAGGTTCCAAGTATCTGTAAATCGCATAAAAGAAAGATATGAAGGGAATAACACATTATCAAAATTTTCTTTAAGCACCTCATAACATTATGTAGTGAACTTGCGTTTATTAAATGAAGAAAACCTCTGTGAGTGAAAATCATACATATGATGCAATCTAGTCACACAAACAAGCATTGGTGATGGAAGACAAAATATCACTTCTCTTCAATAAAAAGTTAACAAGCAGTGTTACATACTCTGTTGCCAGAAAACCATCAGACAGTCCACCAATAAAAATGACTTGCTGTCGATAATCACCTGTTTTAAATCCTACCTGCATTGGAAGGATAATTCTCATTCATCATCAAGAAAATTATATGTATAAGCATACAAGATAGATCTCCTATAGGTGAGCACAATGAAAGTGAATGAACTACACTCGATAACAATAATAAACAGCAAGAACTTTATATTAAATGAAAATTGATGATTTTTCGAAAAATAATTTACTTATATAAGACATGCACTGGAAAAAAGAGAAAAAAAATCCATAGTTTTTTGTTTGAAGGCTGGGCTTTACTCCAAAATCCAAAATACTTAATTCTATGAGCAATTTACACAGAAATCTAGTTTACAAGTTTAATCTTGCAAAATGTTAACCAAACCACTGCAACCAAAAGGCATGAAATTTGTGTTCTTGATGCAACTCACTGAACCTTCCAACATTTTTTACGGGCAGCAGTGTGTTTTATTGAACAAAAAGGAATAGGTACAGTCTACAGAGTAGTAGACACAACTGAACCTTCCAACAACAGAACCAGGTAATTTCTCTTCTTATTTTCAAAGATAAATAAGATCTAAACAAATGACTTCGAAAATCCTATCATTCTTGAAATGCTGTTCTCCCTCAATAGCTGCCAATGAACTACTACACAGCTATTTTTCGCATGGTACCAAAACCCATCCTAACCTCTAAGGTCTCACCCAAGCTCCAGCATTTCACCTCAAATCCCAATCTCAGTAATTGGCATAAACTTTATTCCGACTAGATAACAGTTAAAAATCGCATTTTTCGATAGCAAAATGGCACCAATTATCCCCATTCTTTCAAAATACCAATCTCAGTAATTGGAAACTGCTCAAAAAATACTTTAACCACCAAATTCAAATCTTCCCAACTCACCATTAACATAATTCAGACCACCAAACAGTTAAAATTTGCATTTTACGAAATGGCACCAATAGCCCCAATGATGTCAAATTACCAACTTTCAAAAAAGATCGAGCTCTCGCAACTCAATCACTACTCAAATGCAGCACAATCCAGAAACAAAAAGCATAAACTAACATAAGAAACAACAGACCTGAATAGATTTGGGGCCGTACTTGAATAGCACGCCTCGGAACTGATTCCGCACAACAGGGCCGGAACTGTCGCCGGAACCGCCCGAAAGGGAGTCTGCTCCCGTCTTGACGGACCCGGCCCGTTCCAACCGGCCCCGGACGACGCCAGAGAACCACGAACTGGAGGAAGACGACAGAGAAGAAGACTTGAACTGACTGAGGGAGGACTTGAACTGGAGTGGCCTTTGAAGGGAAGAATGAGAACACCCAGCCTAGGGTTATACAAAATAAAAAGCCGAAATTTTTATGAAACCGCCAATTTTTTCCAACTAAGCAGCCAAAATTTTAACAAATTGCGCGAAGCAGTTTGTTCGTCGCAGAAACACATTTTGCGTGGCCCATTGATTGATACATCGTGCAAACAGTCTTTGTGTAACACATTGGTTGGTATGTCGCGCAAATTATATATTTTTAAAAAAAATTATTATAAAATTTATTGAAAATGTGACTTTACTCCTTTCAATTTTTTTTTTTTAACATAAAACACAATAATATATTTTTGTAACAAAAATCCCATCCAAACTACAATTATCAATTTAAAGCTACTTAGTAAATATATATACCATTCAATTTCTTAAATGTTATAACAAAATAAATCAATTTAAAGCTACTTAATAAATATATATATATATATATATCATTGAACTTGATGGGATACGCATTCTACGAAATAGTTTTAATGATCCAACCGTCAAACTTATTTGTATATACTTCGAGATCGCATACACAAAAAATCGCAAAAAACAAACATTCATAGATTAAGTAACGGGACAAAACTTTTCGATGGTTATAAATCAAAAATCATGATTTAACGATTATTTTAACACCGATTTTTTATAGCTACACTCCTTGATCCTATATGAATACAATGAATGAATTCGATCTTTAATTAAAATATTTACACTAGTGGATACCACAAAATCTTATGTTATACTTAATGAAAAGTATAAATAAACTCTAAGTGTTAGTGAATCTATCGTTTTGATGGGATACGCATCCTACGAAACTAATTTCAACGATCCAATCATCAAACTTGTTTGTATATGCTTCAAGATCGCATACGCCAAAAATCACAAAAAAAAAAACATTAAAAGATCAAGTAACCGGATAAAAATTTTCGATGGTTATAAACGAAAAATCAGGATTTAACGGTTATTTTAACTCCGATTTTGATGATTTTTTTATAGCTACACTTATTGATCCTATATGAATACAATAAATGAATTTGATCTTCAATTTAAAATATTTACACTAGTGACGCAAAATATTTACACTCAATTACTTTCAGCAACAAAGGTGCACCTTTGTCGCGCAAAGTTGTTTTGCGCGACTGAAGTCTTGGTCGCGCAAAGTTCCATTGCGCAAAATGTCTTTGCGTGACGTTTTGTTGTCAACGTTGCGTAAACATACTTTCCGCGATGCAATTTGCTCCATCGCGCAAGTATGTTTTTGTACTAGTGTAGAAAGTACTATGAGAAATGTCAGAGTTTGTTAGATGGTGAACTACAAATGGCTTGATCCCATCATACGTAGGCACTCTAATATAGAGATTAGGTGCAACCAAGAAATATAGAAAAAGGTTACTACGTTATTAAACCGTTGGGTTGTTTTTGGTCATGACTTGTAAGCAAGGCATGATAGTTGAACAAGTACGTGGTGATGTTACGTGCCAATTTTGGATGTATCTAGAGATCGGAGCGTGACAATATGTGTAAGCTTTTATTTATGTACTTTATTATTAGCATCGGAAAACTTCTTTCTTTCTTCTTTTTTTTTTTTTTTTTTTTTTTGTCAAAGGAAAACTTCATTATAGATTCTACGAGAATTTTTATGAAAACCTTTCATTTACTTCTCTTCGATGGAGTTTTAGTTTCTCAAAATGTATCCTAATTTTTGACCTAATTATTTATCTGATGATTGATTCAACTTCTGATAAAAGAGATATACCTTAGTTATATTTCATCTCTTCAACAAGTTTAATAATTAGCATAATCACCCTATTAATATTCCGAAATGAGGTAATACCATTATCTTCATTTACTTTACACCCAGTTTTCTATGTTTGATTGGTTCCCCTTTTTAATATCAAATATTCTAAAAGAGTAAGAAGGAAAGGATGTTGCCAGTAACAGTTTTTATTAGAAAACAAAAACATTTAAAATCATCAGTCTCGTTCTCCTAGAATATGGTTAAAAAAAATTATGGTCACTTATTCTTTAATTTAAGGATATAACTTATTTAAAATAGAAAGAAAAACTACATCATCTAACAAATTAAAATACTCATCAAATCCAACAAAGGACTTGAATTTTTTTTTTTTTTTTTATTAATTACAATACAATCTTAATAGAAACTCCTCCTACAAAAGCAGAAAGCTTTTACATTTTACATGCATGCCAAAACATTACCTATCTCTCAGTACAAAAAAGAGATTCTTAAGTTTGTGCACTTTATTTATTCTGGTGGGATTTGCTGAAATTAATTGAATAATCGAAAGAAATTAAGGGCACTTGCGGGTTTGCCTTGGGGTTTTGAGGTTAAAGTAGCAAGGACAAGACTCATAGTTGCCAGAAGTGCCTGGAGGAACACAACTGCACTTGTGACAACAACTCCCACATGCCCTTTTGCATAGACGAGGCCTCTTTGATAGCTTGCACCTTCCTTCACATGCCACTCCACAATCTGCATCATAAATATATATTATACACAATTAATTAATTGGATATATGAAATCGTAACTAACTTTCATTAATAGTACAATATGGACTCGTAACTAACAACTTTCATCAATACGATATGTACTCAGATTTTCTAAGACTGAATGTCACTAGACCAATGATCTTGATCATAGTAATGGTGAGTTAGCAGGAAAACCGAAGATGTAATCATGTAAGTGCGTGATATACCTATTGTTGGGGGCTGGGGGCTCGGTGCTTCATTGACGCCCATCTGAAAATAGATAGGTACAAACTTTTCAGTTCATATGTTACTTCAATATATTGAATAAAATTTGGATACACACTACTTGAAAATTGAAAGAAACATATATATATATATATATATATGTGTGTGTGTGTGTAGTTATATTACCATCTCGAACTGGTGATCAACTGCTTCAGTGAAATATTGAAGAAGCATAAAAGAAACAAGCATGGAAGCCATGAACGTTCTTGATAACAAAGCCATCTTGATTATATATGGAACAAGAGGAAGAAGGATCTTAGTTTGGCTTGTATGTTGTGAAATGATAGTGAGATATTAGTGTGTGTATTTATAGAGAGAGACTGGTATCGATGGTGCATGGAGGGCAGTAGGGTTGCTGCAATGAAAGTGCCTGCTTTCCTGTCCAAATAGTATTGGATCTACTATTTGATTATATGGTACATGTCTTTGGAAAGGGATCCTCTCCGGATCCCTTACTCCTAATCAATCATGTTCGGGGATCTGGGTCGTTGAAATTTGATCCAATGACTAAAATTATTCTAACTTTTAAAGTGGGCCCCTGTTTGTAGTTGTTGGATCAAATTTCAACGGTCCGAATCCCCGGACTTGGTGGATTAGGAGGAAGGAATCCGGAGAGGATCCCTTTCCCATTTCTTTATCAGAGGGTCTCTTGAAAATCACACAATTGCCAGACTACTTACAACTCATCACCCTTTACCAATGGGTAATGCTAGAGAAACTAAATTTGTAGACTAAATTTTGTAAACTAAATGATATGAAAGTTGATGATTAGATTAGTACTTAAATGTTGATTAACATGTTTATTTTTATTAGTGACACATTATTTAATTTGCAAATTTAGTCTAAAATTTTAGTCAACTTAGTATTATCCTTTACAAATTAATGTTTTCTTCTTATGTTTTGCTTTGTTTCTGTTTAAGATTAATATCTTTGCTTAACATTTGGACCAAAAATTAATGTCAAAATATATTAGAATAGCTCGAGGTGCCCTTATCGATGCAGGACACTCTTGTTGATGGGAGGTTTTTCAGTGTGCCATCTCGTGTTTCGGGCATACTAAAAAAATTTATCCTTATGAGTACATATTTATTTTGAAGTAATCTAACAAAATTATATCGTTTGACCAAAAAAAAAAAAAAAAAACCATGTGGTATAATCTAACCCTAACTGATTAGTTATTACTTCACCGTCTCTTACCACGACTGATCTATACAAGGGCTTAACAATAAACTAGTTTATTGAAATTGTTTAATTAATAGGGAAGATTAGGAAGTATGATTAAGTGAACCTACCTAGCTAATTCTACACGCAACTTCTTCTTGAGAGAGAGATTTATGATTGCAAATATTAAGAAATTAAGGAAAAAAAATGTCGACAGACGAGTATTGGCTAGGTGGCCCTGGCTAGCTAGCTAGCTGTTCTACGATCAAACTTTGTTTCCCAAACCCACCCCGGTCGGTGCCAAAAGAAAATGAAAGAAAAACCTACACTGTACTACTAGCTCTTAGGCAGTCATGCCTTCCAGTTTGGTGCTCCACTTTTGAGGTCGTCTTTCACGACAAGAGTATATATATTGCTATTATGCCCTTTAATGATATAATGATATGTGTAAGCTTATTTTAATATAATACTTTATTATTAGCATTGGAAAACTTTGTTCTCAATTCTACGAGAATTTTTATGGAAGTCTTTTGTTTGTTTCTCTTCACGAATGTATCATAATTTTGTAGCTTACTTTTTATTCTGATGATGGATTATTCAAACCCTAATAAAATAGATATACCTTAGTTATATTTCATCTCTTCAACAAGTTTAATAATGAGCATAACTGCCCTATTGTTCCGGTCCTACAATGTGGTATACCATTACTGTGAGTTGCTCTCCGTTTGTTTACTTATATTTGGCCTATGACCCTTTGACACTCTCGGTTGGAGATCATTTTTTATCATAGGGCTATGTTTGGCTTATGGCGCTTTGGCCCCCTTGGTTGAACATTGTATGAAATATAGTATGACAATGTTCATTAAAATATAATTTCTTGGAAGGCTATAGGGTTAAAGGGAGTCCTATGACCCTTCTTCGGTTGGAGATGGCCTTAATAGATGCACTTCAGGTACAAAACTTTTGCATTGCCTAAATTATTGTAATAGTTTTAAATCTTCTCCCTTCCCTTAACAATAGTAAATTAAAAAAAAATTAACAACAATAATAAAAATAAAAATCAAATAATCACGTACTGTTAGATTAAATATGAAATAATGGGTAACTACAATTTTCTCCGACCATAGGAGAACGGGACTCAAACAGTCAAACTCACACTAGCAGTGTGCTATAGCATTGGACTTTGCCACATGTAGATACATATGGGCCAGCCAAACATAC